GGTTTTGTTTGCTTAGCTGTTTTGGTGTTGGCCCTCCCTAAAATATTTTTGAACTTCATGAGCTGTCTCTAAAAAGAAATTCAAATGCTGACAAAACTGGTACATGAACATAAACACCCCTCCTGTGGTTTTGCCTTATCAGCTTCAGTCATGTGTGACGCATGTGTGAAAAGTGCTTGACACCTCACAGAACGCACTTTTTAGAAAGTGAAAATGTTTGAACTTAGATAACTTTGTTTTTGTTTTTTTACATAAAACATTTATATATTACCTTAGTTTTTGTTCTGTGTGATTTTTAATTTAATAAAATGTTCCCTCTCATCTGACAGCACTCATCATGGGCATTAATGCCATTGTATTTTGGGACTTTTAACGATTTCTTTGAACTGCTCTTTTTCCCTGCATCAAAATGACGACCTTTCCAGAGACATTGATAGGCCTTGTCAAGTTAAAATACTTTGTATAACCTTCAGAACCAGTTATTACAGATGTGAGTGTGTATATATCAAATCAAATAAAAAAACATTTTTTTATATACACAATCATACACAATATGACATGCAGAGAGATGCTTATAGCTGTGCAACTGCCGACCAGATAAAAGAATAAAACTAAATTTAAAAGTCAAGTATAAAAGTTAAAAATCAAAATTAAAAAGGTGTGCAAATCAACAGTGTGCACACTGACAGTGAACAGTTATGAGTTATGAGGTATATTACTGAAGTACATTGTTGTTGTTGTTGTTGTTAAGTGCTTGTGCAATGATGTGTAGAGATATATAGATAAGAATATTTCTGTTTGTATGTAAACTCTGGCCCAGTGCGGACTGAATAAAGTCTAAAATAAATTCAAACTTGTGACCCAATTCTTGTTTGTGTGTTTTTTAACAGCGTGTGCTGTACAGTCATTGCACCCTGGAAAAAGAATAGTTCAAAGAAATGATTAAAAACCCACAAATTACCAAAAGTTTCACACCCACGATGAGTGTGTGTGTAAACCTATCATGTAAATTATTTTGATGAAGAAGTTTAGTTTGCATTTTGTATCTGGTATTTGTAAAAGCACCACTTGTTTATGATATTCCCACCCAGTCTCACATCACACCTACACACACACACACACACACACACACACACACACACACACACACAGAGCAGCAGTTCCTTTAAATTTCAGACCTGAGCTGATCAGCTTCACTTTTGGACGACATCAGCTGAACATCATGTTTTGCTGTTGCATATTTTTGGCTGTTTCTTTGTTGCATTCTCTGTGTCACTTCCATGTGTCAGGCTACGGTAAGTTCTCACACATGTGGAGTTTTGTTACTGTGTTTATAAATGGCAGTTCTATTTTTTGCAATGGTCTTATTTACTGTACAATATATTTAACGATTAAATTATGTGATTTTCACATGTATTGTTTCACAATATATATATATATTTATCGTAATTTTCTTAATTTACTTTTCTCAGTATTGTGCCTTCCTTATTTTCTGCGTAATAGTTATCATCTATATCCTTTTCAGTGCCAGACAGTGCATAACATATGAAGTGATATACTGTAACTATATGTGTAGTACAGTATTAACCACTTTCTTAGCTAATGGAGCAAAGCCTGGGAGCTACTTCAGGCAGGCTCTGCATCATGTATCAATTTGTTGGTTTATTTAACGTTCACATGTCATGGTTTGAGTGTTTTGAGCGTTTTGAGTTTTCCTTTTGATTTATGATGCTTTGCTTTATCAGGATGTTTAGGTCAGAGTTTTGCTCCTCTAATGTTTTGTGTTATTTTGTGTTCACGTTTCCTTCCGTTACATTGTGAAGATGTTTTAATTTCATTCAGTTTAGTCTTGAGTTCAGTTTTTTTATGCTGTTGAGTTTATTTGTATCTGTTTTTTGGGCTCTGTCTCTTTCCTGTGTCTCCTGTGAGAGTCTGCCATGTCCTCTGTGTGTGTTTCCCCAGTCATGTCTGTGTTTTGGTCTTGCTCCCTCCGTGTCTCGTCTCCCGTAACTGTTTCCATGTTTCCCTCTTTGTGTGTCCTTCCTTTGTCTCCGCAGTTGTCTTGTGTCCATTTGCGTTCCTTCCTCCAGCTCCGCCTTCTCGCTCCATGTTCCCACATCCAGGTCTTGTGTTCCGTGTTCTGTGTTTAGTGTTTAGCTTTAGTTCATGCAGTTTAGTTTGTTAGTTAAGTCTCTGTTCTCATTTGCCTCTTATTTATATTTTCATTCAACCCAAATAAACGGCTCGCCTTTTGTTTAAACTCACTCCCTTTTTCAAGTGTCTGCATTTGGGTCCTCATAATCTCTCCACACTGTCCGACATCAGAATTTCTTATCTCTCTCTGTCGCTTACTGTGTAGGAAAGGGTGACTATGTCTTTATGACGCACAAAGCTGGAAGATTCAAGTCAAATCTAAAAGTTACTTTAAGACAATCAATGATTAATTATCATTATTAACTGCAAAGTCAGTTATCATTTAAATGCTTAGCAGGGCCTCAATTTGCTCTAAAACAGCCTCAGTTCTTCTTGCTCTTGAGTCCAAAAGATGTTGACAGATTTGTCCCATTCAGTCTAGAGATGGCATGAAACCACTTTTTATGCCCGATACCGATACCGATATCATAAATTTGGATATCGGCCGATATGAATCTGATATAGTGTGTTTTTTAATCAATATAACTGTTTTTTTTTAAATATCTTGCTGCTTTTTGTATAAGTTCATACTCAAGTAAAAAAAAAACCAAAAAAAACCCCACTAAAGCTATTCTGTTATACCTGTATGCAAAAAATGCACTGCACCCAAAATATTTCATAGTTCAGCAATACTGATCAATCTAATAAACTTAAACCTACTCCATCCTCCCTATTCTGGTATTTTAAAGAGTAAGCAACCTAACTAATAGGGTTGCAAACCCCAGCAAAAAATAAAATAAAATAGGGAACCCCCCCCTCCACCTCATGATGCTTAATCGACGTAATCAAGTTTAATTTGATGCAGTGTGAAAAAAAATGCACAGAAATACATTTTTTTTTCAAGAATAATTAAATAGATTCAACATCTTTCTTCAACAGAACTGCAGACTGCACAGATGGTACCTTCCCAAAGGAAAAAGTAGCTTACTAGGGTGTATTAGACTTAATGGACTTCTATTCATTTTACATCAGATTAAAAAATTTGGGTGTAAGATTCAGATAATTATTTATTAAAAGCTAGACATTTTAAATGAGAATAAGAAAGAAAAGTATGTCTTTGTGCCCCCTTCTCCCTGTTCATGCCCTATCGGCCCCCCTGGCTAAACTTTGCTAGATCCGCCCCTGCACAGTTACCAGCCGTCAGCTAGTAGAAAAAGATCCTGGTGCAGAAAGTAATATTAAATAAATTCTAACAACAGCTGATCAAGCTTAAACGTGCTGCTGTTGTTCAGCCGCTGGTTTCCTCTTCCTGGTGCAAAGTGGGCGATAAACAAACAAGAGAGACAGACTCGCGACAGAAAAGCCGATCAGCTGATCACTGATCAGTTTCACGATTGAAGTAGCAGCAGGAGAGGGAGGGGGAGACAAGAGGCAGTCCTCCATATATCGGTTGTTAAGCTTAACGTGGGAATGCTTTACAAACATTCAGAGATGAACTTACACACTTGCTTTACTTCTCTCTGGGATAACTTCCTCTGAGATGAAATGCAGGATTGGTAGCGAGGCTACAAATACACACAGCCGCTCTATCACGTGAGCACACTGCTCCGATGTGCTACGGTTATGAGGAGGGTTACGCCGTGTCGAAAGTTTTGTGAGGTGCTTTTTTGATATTTAATGGATCGGATTACATTTTTTATTTTTCTCCGATATCCGATCCAGTAATTTACGTCAGTATCGGACCGATACCGATACGTAATATCAGATCCATCTCTAATTCAGTCAGTCTGTTTTTGGTTTGGAGACACCTGTGAGAAAAGATGTTGGAAAACTTTAACTGTCCAGATTTGGTGGAGCCTGTCTCTCTGCAGCCTCTGATTTCTGTTTTGGCTTGTTGAAACCCAACATGCATTTGTGCTGCTGTAGCCTCGAGGACAGATGCTTTTCTGTCCAGCACAGTTGCAGGTGAAATCTAAATGACCATAGTCTGTCCTTTCTCCTCTGGCCTCAACAAGCCACTGTCTCTGCAGAAGTGCTGCTCACTGGATGTTTTTGGTTTATCACATCTTTCAGAGTTACTGAAATGTGAATCCCAGGAGATCGACAGTTTCAAATATAGTCAAACGTTATCACAGTTGAAGCGATCGCATATTTTCTACATCCTTATATTTGTCACAGACAGCTGATCGATAATTGTAATCATATTCTTAACTTTTCACTTTCATGGGAATTTCTCCCACCTGCTTCATGGACACCATCATGATCTCCTGTACATGAAAAAGCTCATCCTCAGACAGGGTGCAGGCTTCAGTCATTTGTGACGGGCTCAGATTGGACCTGCTACACTTATACATTGAAAGCAACTGAGGTGAGCAGGATGGATGGTAAATATTTTCCTTGCAAATAATTGCATGTAATGTTTTTTTCTTACAGATCCTAGCTGCACAGAGTATCCTGTGTTCACTCCATCTGCGCTGGTAGTGAAGTACGGTGACCCAGCCAATGTTACATGTGTTGTATGTCAGAAGGACTGCAGTGGAGATGCTTCAGGTTTAGAGCACACTGTGGGAAAAGTTTCACAAAATGGAACCACGATGTTCTGGACAGTTGACAGACTGACTGAATGGGGCATATCTCTACACTGCTATTATAACAATGATGCTGGCAATCAGTGTACAAGCATTCTGAATCCAACTCTTTATCGTAAGTATGCTTACTTTAGAAAATGAGACTTTTTAGTGGATTTTACATCATCTGTGATCTAAATTTAATCTCTTTGTGTAAATACACAGTTAGATGGATTCATACTCTCAGCGGTTACTGACTGACATCTACCTGTGTTACTCGTTCTTTCCCTGTCTTCTCAGAGCCTCCAGAAAGTGTCTCCATCAGCTTTGTAAACCACACTGAGATGATGTTTGAGAATCAGCAGTACACCCTGCAGTGTAGCGTACAGAACGTAGCTCCTGTTCAAAGCCTCACTGTGACCTTCTACAGAGGAAACACAGCACTGGGTCACCTACAGTCCGACAGTGAACAGAAGAAACCAGTGAATGAGACCTTCACCCTGAACATCACTCCCAGAAGAGAAGATGATGGAGCCCAGTACTGGTGCGAAAGCAAGCTGGAGCTGAGACCAGCTGGACCACAGCGCCCTCCAGTGGTGACATCAGAAAAGCTCCCTGCTATAGTTCACTGTGAGTCTGAGGGGGGGAAACAGATTTACATTTACATGTGTAATTTTCATGGCTCTTTATGTAATGTAAGAGGTTTCAGTGCCTCAAATCATTTTCCCCATTTGTTCAATTTTCCATTGGATTATGACGAGAATACAATTTCTATCCTAAGTCTCAGACTGAAGACACATCTCTGACCAGTGAGACTCTGATCTTTTAATATCAATATATATCTAATATACAGTGGGTACGGAAAGTATTCAGGCACCCTTAAATTTTTCACTCATTGTTATATTGAAGCCATTTGCTAAAATCATTTAAGTTCATTTTTTCCTCATTAATGTACACACAGCACCCCATGCTGACAGAAAAACACAGAATTGTTGACATTTTTGCAGATTTATTAAAAAAAGAAAAACTGAAATATCACATGGTCCTAAGTATTCAGACCTTTTACTCAGTATTTAGTGGAAGTATTTTGGGAAAGATGCAACAAGTTTTTCACACCTGGATTTGGGGATCCTCTGCTATTCCTCTTTGCAGATGCTCTCTGATTCTGTCAGGTTGGATATAAACGTTGGTGGACAGCCATTTTTATGTTGGGTTTAAGTTAGGGCTCTGGCTTGGACATTCAAGAACAGTCACAGCGCTGATGTGAAGTCACTCCTTTGTTATCTTAGCTGTGTGCTTAGGGTCATTGTCTTGTTGGAAGGTAAACCTTCGGCCCAGTCTGAGGTCCTGAGCACTTGGGAGAAGGTTTTTGTCCAGGATATCCCTGTACTTGGCCGCATTCATCTTTCCCTCACTTGCAACCAGTCGTCCTGTCCCTGCAGCTGAAAAACACACCCACAGCATGATCCTGCCACCAACATGCTTCACTGTTGGGACTGTACTGGGCAGGTGGTGAGCAGTGCCTGGTTTTCTCCACACATACCACTTAGAATTAAGGCCAAAAAGTTCTCTTGGTCTCTTCAGACCAGAGAATCTTATTTCTCACCATCTTGGAGTCCTTCAGGTGTTTGTTTGTTTTGTTTTTTTTTAGCAAACTCCATGAGGGCATTCATGTGTCTTGCACTGAGGAGAGGCAAAGAATGAACAATTTAAGTGGGTCTGAATACTTTCCATACCCACTGTACACTACCAGTCAAAAGTTTGGACACACCTTCTGAGTTAATGGCGTTTCTTTATTTTCATGAACATTTACATTGTAGATTCTTCTGAAGGCATCAAAACTATGAACACGTATGGAATTATGTAATAAACAAAAAAGTGTGAAATAACTCAAAACATGTTTTATATTATAGATTCTTTAAAATAGCCACCTGTTCCTTTGATTACTACTTTGCGCACTCTTGGCATTCTCTCAATGAGCTTCATGAAATGTTTTTGCAACAGTCTTGAAGGAGTTCCCAGAGGTGCTGAGCACTTGTTGGTCTTTTTGTCTTCGCTCTGTGGTCCATCTCATCCCAAACAATCTCGACTGGGTTTCGGTCAGACGACTGTGCACTCCATCACTCTCCTTCTTGGTCAAATAGGCCTCTCACAGCCTGGAGGTGTGTTTGGGGTCGTTGTCCTGTTGAAAAATAAATGATGGTCCAACTAAATGCAAACTGGATAGGATGGCATGTTGGTTTAGTGTGCCTTCAATTTTGAATAAATCCCCAACAGTGTCACCAGGAGAGCACCCCCACACCATCACACCACCTCCTCCATGATTCACAGTGGGAACTATACATGTAGAGACCATCCGTTCACCTTTTCTGCTTTGCACAAAGACGCGGCAGGTGGAAACAAAGATCTCAGATTTGGACTCATCAGACCAAAGCACAGATTTCCACTGGTTTAATGTCCAATCCTTATGTTTCTTGGCCCAAACAAATCTCTTCTGATTGTTGCCTTTCCTTAGTCGTGGTTTTTAGCAGCTGTTTGACCATAAAGGTCTGATTAACACAGTATCCTCTCAACAGCTGATGTGGAGATGTGTCTGCTACTGGAACTCTGTGTGGCATTTATCTGGGCTCTGATCAGAGGTGCTGTTCACTTGCGATTTCTGAGGCTGGTGACTCGGATGAATTTATCCTCAGAAGCAGAGGTGACTCTCGGTCTTGCTTTCCTGGGGTGGTCCTCATGTGAGCCAGTTTCCTCGTAGTGCTTGATGTTTTAGCAATATTCTGACTGACTGACCTTCAGTTCTTAAAGTAATGATGACCTGTCATTTCTCTTTACTTAGCTCATTGGTTCTTCCCCTAATATGAATTCTAACAGTTGTCAAATAGGGCTGTCAGCTGGGTACCAACCTTCTGCACAACACAACTGATGGTCCCAACAATAATTAAGAAGACAAGAAATTCCACAAATGAAAAATGACAAGTCACACCTGTGAAGTACAAACAGGTGAGCATCATGAAGCTCATTGAGAGAAGACCAAGGGTTTGTAACGCTGTTAACAAAGCAAAGGGTGGCTACTTTGAGGAATCTAAAATATAAGACATTATTTTTAGAGTTATTTATCATTTATTTCTTTGCTACATAATTCCATATATCTTGCTTCATATATTTGATGTCTTCAGTAAGTATCTACAATAATGAAAGTAGTAAAAATAAAGAAAAAACATTAAACGAGATTATGTGTACAAACTTTTGGTAGTTTTTTGGTGTATACTGTATATTATGTTTTGTATAAAGAGCAACACCCTGCAAGGTAACTGCAGCAGTTAAATATAATGAAGTGGAATAAATAGTAAAATATTACCCACTGAAAAATAAGTATTAAGTATACTAGCATACGGTGAAAGTGAAGTATAGTATAGTGTACTAGAGACAGTAATTTGATACTTTCCACTCTCCATGAATATGTGCTTCCACTTCAGTGTGGACACAAGGGGCATGCTCAGTCTTTATGTGATAGTCATATTGCCTTTGACCTTTATTATGTTTTTGTTATTAATTTAAGACCCCCTCAGTAACATATTTAAGATGAACATGATTCTCAAATCATCACAATCAACAGCACAGTTTGATCACTGATGTGAGCCGGTGACATGAACACATTTAAGCAGGTAACTTATCCAAACAAAGGAGTCTGATGTCAGACACAACTGTTAACTCGCTACTCTGACTCACATCTGGATCCAGAAACCACCATACGTATATGTGCATCATATGACCTAGAGGGGATAACATTAATTGAGAACATTTAGTAATAACTCCAGAAAGCCTCAGAGGCTAATTGTACACAGTTCAGCAGAGATTAAAGGAATTGTCTGACTGTCAAAACAATTCATGTGTTCATCAGTGAACATTCCTCTTTTAAATTAAAAATGGTTGATTTTGCTAATATATTGTGTTCTGTTTCTTCTTCAATAATCACACAGATGGGCCTGAGCTCAATGAGCCACCAAATCCAGATGTGATCACAATCACGGAAGGAGACACTCTACACCTGAACTGCTCCTCTGTGGGAAACCCCAGCCCCTCATACACCTGGACACTCCCATTAAATAGCTCTCCTTCCTACAGTGGCAGCGTTCTCACTATTAAATCTGTTGGGTTTGAGCATGAAGGACAGCATATCTGCACTGTGAGCAACACTGTAGGGACTGTCACCAAGGAGTTTAACATTGACGTACAAAGTGAGTGTTGTCAGATACTTCCTGGAAAATGAGTCACTGAAGATCAATCACAATATTTTCCTCTAGAAATGATACAGCAGTTGAGAATAATCCAATCTTTAATCCAAGAATTAAATTCATTGTGATTGTTTTGGTGTTTTTAATTTGCCTCGTGTATATTATTCTTCTTTTCTTTTTTACAGTCAGCTCCATCCCATACATAATACGTGGAACCTTACTGGGAGTTCTGGTCCTTGTCGGTCTGTCACTGGGATGCTACTGTAAACGCAAGCAAAGGGGAAACTACAAACTCAGTAAAATTATTGTTATTGACAGCTGAAGAAATGACTGAATGGTTAACACCTGATTCTGATTAGCAGCTTGTCTGTCTATCCTCTGTGAGCAAACTTCCTGTTTAGCACATATGCAAGGCAAGCTTTCACATTTCTGATCATTTCTGATCAACAGTTGATTTCTTTCTTTAAATATTACAGATATTTATACAGCTGTTGATGAGCTGTAGTCCCTCACTCTCTGTTTAGCCGAACTAAATTCATGGTTCCCTTCCAATTTTCTTAAACTCAATAGTAACACATCAGAGCTTCTGCTGGTAGGCACTAAACAACACTATCCAGAACTAATAGCTTTTCAATTACAATCAATAACTGGCCAGTCTCTGTTTCTCCATGTGTGAAAAGTTTGGGTGTCGTCCTCGATAGTACTCTTGTAACTCACACATCAATAACATTACTCGGTCTGCATATTTCCATTTGTGTAACATTAATCGTCTCCGTCCTTTCCCCACATGTCACTGCTGTTCTTGTTCATAGCCTGGTCACTTCCCGGATCGATTACTGCAACTCTCTTCTTTTTGGTCTTAGTCAAAAATTTCTCCATAAGCTTCAACGTGTCCCGAACTCTGCTGCTCGTATTATCACCAGGACCCCTTCTATGCACCACATCACCCCTGCTCTGCAGCAGCTTCATTGGCTTCCGCTCAAATACCGCATCAATTTCAAGATACTTTTGTATACATTTAAGGCTATTCATCATCTCTCCCCTTCATACCTCTCTGATCTGGTTCAGATCACCATTCCTTCTCGGCTCCTCTCTCTGTCCCTTCCCCTCGGTTAGCCACCATGGGGCACAGGGCTTTCTCTGCTTCTCGACTTTGGAATTCCCTTCCTCCTGATATGATAAATATCACTTCCTTCTCTCTTTTTAAGTCTAGACTCAAAACTCACCTGTTCACAATAGCCTATTCCACATAAGCTTTTCCATTCTGCTTTTTAAATTTACTCCACATTTTATCTTTATAACTTTGTAAACTGTTATGCTTGTTGTTGTTATTGCTTGTCTCTATTCTGCTGTGTACAGTGTCCCTGAGTGTTTTGAAAGGCGCTTTTAAAATAAAATGTATTATTATTATTATTATTATTAGTCTCAAACTAGGGCCATAGGGTCTGCAAAATAATTTACTATCAGTTAAACAAATTTCTTTGTTATATCACAAAAACATCTGGGTGTCATTTTGTCTACAAAACAACCACATGGTGTCCTCTTCACTCCCTCGTGATATCAGTGGGACAAAGATCACTGTCAAAGATCACTGAGTGTGTGCAGGTGACCAGTATGTGTGGATATTTACTGGATATTTATTGCAATGTTATTATTCTTTGCATACTTCGGGCAACATCTTAACTGACTTATTTTCCTTGATCAAAACTCTTACATGATGTTAGCGATGTCTCTTTGTTGCATTTACAGTAGTTTGTTGTTGTTGTTCAGCTTAAGTACAGATTTCAGAGCTGTGGTTTAATTATTATTTCATGTTAGATCCTTGTTTTCTTATGTTTAAGCAACAGCTGCCACTGTGTAATTATCTAACAACCTGCATTCATAATGACATTTATTTATTCGTTACAGAAGCACGCACACACACACACAGACTAACGAGCTATCAATACTTTGTAACTGATGCCCCCTGGTGGTCACATCTTTTAAGAAACAAACATTATTGTCCTTCAAATTTGCTGCAACAGGGTCTTCAGATCAGCGGCGCCTCCAGGATTTTTTCATTGGTGTGGCCATATTTCCATTTTTATTATGCTGTTGTCAAATATAGGTGACTTGAAAAATAGAGTTGATATCACTGAAAACAGATACAAACATACAGACTTTTAACTTCACACAAAGTGCTGTCACTGTTATGCTTGCAGTTTATTCACCCACAGTTTTTATTTCATTTTTTACTTTTTTTTAGTTCAGCGAGAGAAGTGAATAATGTTTGAGTCTTGAACGAGTACGTTTAAGGATCCGTGTTTGTATTTGTTAAAGTCTTTGTTTGTCCCATTTCATCCTCAGCCTATCCAAGCGCACTTATCTGAACAAATCACTCAAATCCCTCCCTGTCATAGCCTCTGTCTGTCTGACTTCTGCAAGTGAATTTGCTGTAAAGCAAAGCACATCTGCAAGGGAAGGTTCATTGTTTATACTCATCATTAGTTTCATCTCTGATTTAATGTTACATTTGTGCTCTGCCAGCTGTTGATGAGCAGTGGATTTCAAAGTGGGGTTCAAGATCCTAAAACCCAGTCTGCAAAATAATTTACTAACATTAATTTACTAAAAATGTTACCAATGTCACTGACAAATTAGTCTTTATTCAATGTTTTTAAACAAATAATTGCATCTAAGAGCACAAATGGTGTCAAGATTATAATAGATAAATATTCTCACCTGTGAGGGGGTCGCTGGGCCCAAAGGTTTGACTAGTGAGCTCCTCCTGAGGACCTTTAATAATGTAATACTTGTGTTTTACCACTAGAAGACGCTAGATAATAATCTGAGATACTGGAGGCAGTGTGAGCAACAGTTAATATGAAAAAGCTGATGATCTGCATGAATCTGAACTTTTCAGTCAAGATCACAGTCAGAGCTACTATGGTAGTGACATAATTCTCCAGGCCTATTTCCTGTTATTTAAAGGTTGAGCTATTCCCATGTCAGACAATCATAACATGTAATGTAATAACAATGACCTTTCTTTTCTCACATAACACCACACACACACACATCAAACTTGGATTATTTATGTGAATATTACCTGATTAAGACATTTTCACAAAGTTATGTAGTTTATACGTATCTCACTTTGACCCTGAATATAAATAACTGTGAATAGAGGGTTATTAGTGGGGACTCTATTGTTAATTGCCCCTTGGAGATAAATAAAGTCTCTCTGACTCTGATTCAGTGAGAAAAGATGGACATGAGTTATTGCTGAAACAAACTTGAACTGAAACCATACAGCATCAGTATATTTTAATACTAGATGAGCCTAATGTGTTTGGACAGGCTGTAACCAGCACAAGCCTCACACACTTCTCACCTGACCAGCTGTCGTAAGAGGACAGTGTGCTGCAGGCGAGGAGAGGGAAAAAGAAACAAAACAGAAAAATGGGAAACACTTCATATAATTGAATTCAGCAGATTAACTATAAGAATAAAAACATATAAAATAAATAGTATGAGTGTACACATAAAAACAAATAAGCTAATGAGGCCGAAGAAAGGCGTAAAAGCATGAAAACCCTGACAGCAGAGTGTAATTTGATGACAGGGCCTACCAGTTAGTTAAACTTTAGAATAAAGCAAACTAGAATCGATCCTGTCAAGCTGTTATTTCTGTTTTTTTTTGTTTGTAGAAGCTTTCAGTGTCTGTAAGAGGTATCAGTCATCACTCAGAGAGCTGTGACTTCTTTATATTCTCATAGGAGTACTGGCAGTATGACTAGCTGCCAGTTCTTTGAATCAAAGTCATAGTGTTAAAATTAGCCGTACTGAGAAAAAAAGTCCCGTCAGGATGCAAACGTAATCCACTCCTCAGTGAAACTCATCAATCCACTGTTGCTTCATTTTTTCCACTTCTGTCAACTTTGCAGAACTGAAAACTCAGTTTTAGCTAATCTGACGCAGGCCTGTTACAGGTCAAAGCTGAAGTATATAGATGTACTGTTAAGTGGAATCTGAATGTAGAAATATGCATTTATGTTTTAGCATTTTCATTTCCAAACAATCAACAAAGTCCTGGTGAAATTTAAAGGCTGCTCAGTTTTGCCTCCAGCGTGTGTGTTTTCTCCCCTCTGTGTGTTTGTGTGCATGTTTCTTATTTAAAAGTTTCAGGAGGACAGGTTAAGAGGATGCAGACGGGTAAAACTGTAAAATGCAAATCTTCATGCCAGAGCTTGACTCAGATGTGGAAGCAGTCAGATAATCAAAACAAACCAGAAGAGGAACAGGCAGAGGGCGAAGTCCAGAAATGACTTGGCTCTGTCCAAAACTAGACATCTTTAAGGTTTTTAAGCTACTTTAAAGCATTTTTTCTCTGTTGGCAATTTGTAACCTCATGAATGAACATCAGAGATTAGCTCGAGTTATAAGGAGAACCTTTCACTGAGCCTGAATAACAATCAGTGGAAAAGCTAGAAAACAAAACATGGGCATTTTTCTTCTTCTTCTGGTCACTGGAGGCTGACAAACAAACTAGTGAAGCTAAGCTAACTAAAGTATGACTCCAACCATTCCCACGGTTTTTGCCACCTTTACTTTCATTTCTTCTTTACCAACGGGAAACTGAAACAATGAATGCTCTGATTTGATTCATTATACTGTTTAATGTGTTGTGAATTTAAACAGAAACACGTATATGTAAAAAAAACAAAAAAAAAACAACCACACATCCATGTGGCAAATCAAACTTTAAAAGCAGTTATACAAACTCACAAACACACAGAAAAATATTAACAAGATGAAGCACAAACCTCCGCTAATGCAGCTCAGTCTCTGAGCAGTGTTTACTTTTAGGGAATAGTATTGTATTTTATACACATACACTATGTAGGAGCAGGTAATGGACAAGGTATTGATTTGTAAATAACTGGATGTGAACAACTTCAGCCTATTATATAATATTATGCTACAGTATATTTACAGTACAGTAACTAACTAACAAGTCATTGTCTTTCTCATTTTTAAAGATGTAACAAACTTTGGATTCAACTTGATGTAAAATATAAATCAGGTTTGATATCATTTGTGACATGATATTTGATTGTAAACTATAATGTCATATTTAAGATCTCCACTATCATTTTATAAATGTTGCCAATATTAACAAAGGCACTAAATTTTAACCACAGTTTTAAAGATAAAAGACATTTTATGAAAGTTTAACCTTATTTGACCTCAAAGAAGCCGTCAGAGGTCCAAAGGAATTGTCAGGGCCTGGATCTGTGACCCAGTGTTTTGAGTTTATTTTGTATTTTTGTTTTTCTTTTGTTAGATTGCATCAATGTTAAGTTCTTGTGTTATTTAGTTAGGGTTTATTGAGTGATTTATTCTAGTATGTTTTTATCCATGTCTCCGTATTCATGAGTCTTTCCTGTCTTCGATGTAAGTCTGTCTTAGTTATGCTTTCGTCTCCCTTATCTGTTCCCGTGTGTCTCTCCCTGTGTTCTCAAGCTTGTGTTGTCATGTCCACGTTTCATTATGTTTCACAAACACTGTGTAGGAGCAGGACCGGAGTGGACTGCAGACAAATTTCCATGACTCCACTCCACAAGATTTCATAATTTTTTTCAAAATGTTCTTTTTACCAACAGAATAACATCCAATGCTACCAAAAACATAACTTCCTTGTCTGAGGTATTTACTGAAAAAGCCCTGTAACATTACAGACTTTCAGTGACTCTACTTCAAACTATGGTTATCTGATAACCACAGTTTAATAGATCTGGAGAAAGGAGATGTTGGGCAGATGTTACACTCCTTAATTCTGTGGGTATAGTATTCTAGGAATGTGCTCAGTAAGATTCAGGATTCAAGAAGTTTATTGTCATATACACCACAAAACACAAGTGGCCGTGCAGAGCAATGAAATTCTTACTTTGCGAGTTCCCTTCACTCAACTAAATAAACAACTAACTAACTAAAATAAGGAATAAACTTAACTAAAGTAAGAGAAATGTATTTTAAAGCCAGTTTAATTATTTTTCCCAGTTTAATTAGCCCCAGTTCACACAATAATGACGTGAATTTGAGTTTTTAATCTCATGTTTTCAGATCCTGCTTATGGATTCTTTCTACTGATGTAGATGTGATCCAACTTGTCTGGTAGTTTATGTGAGACTGAGGCTGATTCTGTTGTTATAATTCTGATTCTTGTGATTCTTCCATCATTTAAACACTTTGAGTTAATTATTCAATTATCCAATATTATCCAGTAGCAATATTTACTGATTAAAATCTCACATTCATTCATTGCTTCTAAAAATCTAATAATAATCCAGTGTCTCTGATATGTGGATTATGAACTGCATCTATTTAGCTGTTCCCTCGCTTACCCACATTTCAGTTACTACACATTACAAAAACACAAGACTGAATTCACATCCCTAAAATCTGTGATCGCACTGAGAATACCACCGCATGCCTTTACACTACAAATGGCACCAGCGTGTCTGGCACTGTCCCAGCACAGAGAAGCAGAGAGATAAGGTCTAACCAGAAAGCTCACAGAGTCCAGTTTAACTTTATCTGGAAGTTTTGTCTGAAGCTCCAGTCAAACAGAATATAAACTCCTTCACCATTAGATGTTTAACAGTCCTCGTTCTCTCTTCCCTTCACTGCCCTGATTGGTCTCTTTGAGGCTTTCCAAGTCTTCATGCACAGAAGCACCTCCCCTGTCACTTTAGTCCCGAAAAACCTTTTACTTCCTGACTCACTAACAAACTTACATCATCCTGCTTGATTCTCCTACTTGTAACATTTTGAATCACCATTGTTGCCAGGGTTGCTGGAAAGCTGCGCTCACAGTCACAGGAAGTCCAGACTGGAATGTGCCAAGTGTCCTCAGATCATGAGGTGATGACAGCAGTGGTCTCTTTTAAGTATATAGTTGATCTCATTTGACATTTAAATCCAGTATTTAGTTATGTTGGAAGTGATTAATGAAAAGTTAAAGTGGTTTAGTTTCTTTGTATTCAGATCATTTCTTAGTGTTTGCTTGTTTTTCCTTTTGACCTCTGTTTGTTAGGTCACTTTTTGCCACTTCAGTTTTGTTTGTAGGTTTTGTTGAAGCTGTTGGTTTGTTGTGTTTTGCTGTTTTTATTTAGCCTAAGTTTACTTCCATTAATGGCTCAGAACTATGATTTTCTTTTTCTAAAACTATTTTTGATTCTTTTTTGATGATCAAATAAAATCCACATGTTTCACAACCATCTAACCAATGTTCAGTTCATGTCCACTCTATTTAAATAACGCATTTTACATACAATAGCAAACATCATGAAGATAAATCTAAAATGAAGCTAAGTAACTGGAATCTGGGATGGCAGCCTTACAACAGCAAACTCCAGCATTAGCCAGCATTTTCTGCATTGAGAGCTTCTGTGTTACTACTTTAAGTTCATTTGTCTACTCCTAGTTAAATTTTTTTGCTTGAGTAACATATTACATGCCTTAGTGTCTGTAGCACAAACATTTTACAGATTCATATCAGTGCTTTTACTTGGATTAATATTAAAAAAAGATGTTTGGTGTGAATAACAAATTGTAGCTCATACTATACCAACAGCATGACTTGAAAACTTTTTATAAATGACTAACACCTTCAGAATTTCCTCATTTAATGTTGCCATGGTTTCAGTGGTTGGCTCACAACCAACATTTTTGTATCTGCCTCAAAAAATGAAAACCAAAGCATTAAAATGAGTCCAAAAAGCAAAGGGAGGCAAGATTTTAGTAAACACAGAAGCATGTTGGGAATGTAAACTGTCTTTACACTCCTTAAGGCTCAGCACGATTACCAGTGACCCCCGAGTCAAAAGCCTTTTCACTAACACTTGTTCATTTTTACTGTTACATATAAAAATATTATAGGAGCTATAAAGAGAATAGTATACTTTAGACAATGTCACTGATATTGTGATTTTTTTTTAATTGGAGAATGGATAAATGCATTTGTTTGATCTAGTCTGTGTGACAAATCAGTTCGTTTGGGGAGATTTAAACTTCACAACACTGTGTTTTTATGATTATGAAACTTTCGTCCCTGACTCAAATGAATGACATGAACGAATGACAAGTTTTCTTCAGATGGCTTGGTCTCTCTGTTTCACTCGTGTGGCTCTGCTGCTGCACTTCCAGATGTTCTGATATGTAGTCGTGCCTCTTATGACTTCAAGCTGGAGTAAGGGGGAGCGAGAATAAACAGACTAAAAATAACTAAGGAGGAGTGACTAAACAAGGTTGTAGATCATTTCTGAAGTGTGAAGGAATGAAACAGATAGGAAGACAGGCTAAAGGGCTTTTAATGCTTCAGTCTTAGCAGTTGAGAGCTGGTCCTGTGCACGACTTTGTCCTGGAGGAAGGCTTCACAGGAAAGAGATAAGGGAAATCTGCTTCACTGAAATAACTAGGCCTCAGCATTTGTGTGTGCAGACCAGCAGGAAGGGACATAAAGTATATTTGCTGAAGTTTTTGAGTTTATTTAAATATTTCTAATTTATACATTTAAAAGCAAAACACTGCAAACTGTTATTGTCTTTCCTTTAAGAAAGCACATTTTAGAATTTATCACTCAGATCAGTCAGACTACATACACGTTTTCATTTACCAGTGTGTGTGTGTGTGTGTGTGTGTGTGTGTAAGATAAGATAAGATAAGATAAGATAAGATAAGATAAGATAAGATAAGATAAGATAAAACTTTATTAATCCCTTGGGTGGGTTCCTCTGGGAAATTCGGTTTCCAAAAGCACAGCACCGGCAGAAGTTACAGTTACAGAATATTATATATGCACACACACACACACACACACACACACACACACACACACACACACACACACACACACACACACACACATATAAATACAGAGACATATAAATAAAATATACGAAGGGGATAAATAGAATAAATAGGAATAAAAATAAAAATACAAGTGAATTGCACATTTCAAGTATGGAGTCTATTGCACCATTAACTATTAACAAAAGTATTGCACAAAAGGTATTGCACAGTGAGGTGAAGAGGCACTACAGCTTAGTTGTTCCCCCCTCCTTTGTCCTCCTGTTGTTTCCCCTCCCTCTCCCCTTTGTGTGTGTGTGTGTGTGTGTGGGGGGGGGGGGGGGGGTCGTGGTGTTCAGAGGACCTGACTGCTATGAGGCTGACATGAGCTCATCGCTTATTTTTCTTAATGGGATTTCCCCGAAAATTCAGATTTCCCGGATGGATGTTTTCGATTTCACTTTCCCAAAGAGAAGACCAGCCCGCTGATCCACGCCCACAGCTTATAAAGGAGCGTGGACCTCCATGTTGCTATCTGTTCTGCTCTCAGTTCATTACAGACACCATCTGGCCAACAAACTTTGGGCTCGGAGATTTTTTTTTATTAACAAACGTTTTTTCTTTTTCGTTTTCCCAACGAAACTATCTGGACACGATGCTTTCCTGTTACCTTTTCCTCGTTATTTCTTTGATGATCTCCTTCCGAGACGTCCGCGTGTCCGCCTCTGGTAAGTGTCCCGTTATCTGTTGTGCTCAGAGATTTTTTTTTCCCCGTACTTTTGGGGGGTAGAGTGTTGCTGCTTCAAAGTAATACAACAGTTTGATGCTTCGTGTTTTTATTATGAGACTCAGAGATTGAATTATTTCATTATGTCTCATGTTATTAAATAGATGGGGGGGGGTGGGGGGGGGGGATGAAAGGAGTCAACATAAAGTTTTACTAGCAAAGTGCTTCTTAGAATCGACCTCCAAAATCTCCGGACCCCTCTACCGATGGAAAAGCATTCTTCCTAAAGCTGTTCATTCGTTTGGTGTTTTGGTGGTGGCTGAGAAACCAGACGTGTATAAACTAGAGCGATAAAAATGTATTACAAAGTGGCTCCATGGCGTAGGGATTTACAAATTCTCCGCTTTGATCCATTTGGGACTGTGTCCGGATGGCAGCTGACCTAAAAATCTGCCACATCAAACTTCATCAAGCTTCCCGCTGTGGTGATCTGTTGTTGGGAGCAGCCGAAAGTAGCTTTCCTACAAAGACTGTCAGACATTTTCCATTTGTGATGAATATATTTGCTTAGCAGGAGACTTAGGAAAACTTCATTCAAATAAACTACAGTAGCCTGTAACCTGCACAGTTACAGTTACTCTTTTTCACATATCTGGATCTGATCAGGCTAACCCACACCGGTTAAACTGATTTGAGATCTATAGTGACCGCGAGGTCTGTAGCATATAATTTACATGCTTTTTTATAGTCATTAAACCAATCAGAGACCCGGGTCTCTGATTGGTTTAACTGATGTTGGTTTAACTGATTGGTTTAACTCACACTTTATGAAAGTGAGACCAATTAGGATGGAACAGGATCGACTGATCACTCAGAACAACTTTATGATTGATTTGCTCTGACTGTGCCTCAAGGAAAGATGCACATAAGGGCCAAAACTTCCCACTGCAGGGTTCAACTGTTCAAATTTTTCCTTTAACTTGTCACCAGAGTGTGTAACTATGCAAACAACGTCTCTGTGATTTCTTAATCCTTATTCTAATTCTTATTATATATAAACCTTGTACAAAATGTTCTGATATCAATTGAGAAGTTGAATCTACTTGTATAATCTTGCTGATTAATTTTGTGTTTGATTTTAACCCTGGAACACTATCGCTATAAATAGTAACACGATCACTAATGCCGGGTGATTTTTACCCGATATAATATAACCAATGAAAAGTAATCAAATATATCAAAATATGACAACACATGACAAATTAGAGTGGTCTTCTTTTACTTTCAACTGTGCTATGTCTAACAAAATGAAAAATAAAACTCCTAAAACAAAATAATGACTCTGGAAAGCTGGTCTTTGGTCCACCCATTCCTGGGACATTTGAGACTTCCCTGGTGAAGGCACAGGCTCCTCGACACGCAAACAGCTGCAGGAGAGAGAAATCATGTAAATGTATTTTCTCGGGTGTAAATCACCCAGCGATAGTGTTCTAGGGTTAAATAAACATATACACACAGAGAACAGCAGAGCCATATAATGTACAAAGATTTTATTGGGTTGCAAAACCTTTTACAGGATACAAAATATACAGTAATGTCTGACTAAAATAGTGCACACTGTGTATGAAGTGTATCTGCTAATCTACCAAATAACAACACTGGATGTGTTTCTTACAGGTTCTAACTGCACAGAGTATCCTGTGTTCACTCCATCTGCGCTGGTAGTGAAGTACGGTGACCCAGCCAATGTTACATGTGTTGCATGTCAGAAGGACTGCAGTGGAGATGCTTCAGGTTTAGAGCACGCTGTGGGAAAAATTTCACAAAGTGGAACCACGATGTTCTGGACAGTTGACAGACTGACTGAATGGGGCATATCTCTACAGTGCTATTATAACAATGATGCTGGTGTTCAGTGTACTACCGTTCTGAATCCAACTCTTTATCGTAAGTATGCTTACTTTATAACAGGAGACGCATTAGTGAATTTTACATCACTTATACTTAGTTATAATTCTAAAGTGAAAATTGCTTTATAACCTTATTATTATATTTATTAATTCATAGATTAATTAAACTTCTTTATTTGTGGAAACATACAGTTGGATGGATTCATACTCTCAGCTGCTGCAGACCAACCTCTAGCTTACATTCTATGTTGTTCTTTACATTTTTGTTTCTTTCCCGGTCTTCACAGAGCTTCCAGAAAGTGTCTCCATCAGCTTTGTAAACCACACTGAGATGATGTTTGAGAATCAGCAGTACACCCTGCAGTGTAGCGTACAGAACGTAGCTCCTGTTGAAAAGCTCAATGTGACCTTCTACAGAGGAAACACAGCACTGGGTCACCAACAGTCCAACAGTGAACAGAAGAAACCAGTGAATAAGACCTTCACTCTGGACATCACCCCCAGAAGAAAAGATGATGGAGCCCAGTACTGGTGCGAAGCCAAGCTGGAGCTGGGACCAGCTGGACCACAGAGCCCTCCAGTGGTGACATCAGAAAAATTCTCTGCTCCTCCAGTCTACTGTGAGTCTGAGAGAAATAAAGACGCTCTTTGTTCTGTTCCTCAGAGTTTAACATTTTGAGCATGTTTCATGTCACTGGTTTAGTTTTATGTCCCATTACTTTACTGTTTTGATTCTTCCTCACACCTCTCATCACTGTTAATGAACAGGCTCTAATAAGCATCATCAACAAACTGTTGACTGTCACAAGCTGATGAACATAGTGGAGGATTTAGCTGCTAAAAACTAAAACACTCAGTGTGTTTGTAGAGACCAAAAATAGAACTCCACTTTGTTTGTGAACCTTAAAAAATAATAATAATTGTGTTTAAACTCTAAATGAAATTTTTTTTAGTATATATCAATTTGTTTGTAATGTTTCCCAATATTGAATTTCTCTTCCAAAATTGTTTGTTTTGCTAAATCTTTTGTTCTTTTTTTTCCTTCAATAATCACACAGATGGGCCTGAGCTCAATGAGCCACGAAATCCAGATGTGATTACAGTCAAAGAAGGAGACACTCTACACCTGAACTGCTCCTCTGTGGGAAACCCCAGCCCCTCATACACCTGGACACGCCCAAAAAATAGCTCATCTTCCTACACTGGCAGCGTTCTCACTATCAGTTCTGTCGGCTTTGAGCATGAAGGACAGTATATCTGCACTGTGAGCAACACAGTAGGGAATGTCACCAAGGAGTTTAACGTTGATGTACAAGGTGAGATTTTAGTTTGTTTTTCACATCCAGTTTCAATTCAAGCAGTGTTTGGATATTTTCTGTTTGACTAACTTGAATATTCTCTTTTTCTGTTTTCTTTACCAAAGCCTCTATTCCCAACTCTGCAGCTTTCCCCTGGATATGGATAATAGTTGGGGTATCTGTGGCTGTTCTGTTTGTCCTCATTTGTGTGCTATGTTGTCTTTTCTATAAACAAAACCGAAAGGGAAGCTACAACCTAAAGGATGTTTTACGGTTTCCTATGCGCACTGCCTTGCCTCTGCAAAACTGCGAGAATATCTGAACTGTGGACAAACAGTCTGGAGCTGTTTCTTCGACATTAGGTGCTGTCTAATTCTTCAAGTCAATTTGTCAAGTTTGACATCATCCCGGTTTGATTGAGGTAGTGGTTACCTTCCTCTACTGATGACATCTGATGACACCAAACAACAAAAATGACAGCATGAAATGAAGGCTTTAAGTGACGTGACCGGTGACCTAAATACTGAATGGAAAAAAAGCTTCTTTCTCTTTTAACAAGCTTCTGCTTTTAAGGTACTGTAACACAGTCAGCAGCAGCTCTGCAGTCACTTCCTGTAAATATGCTGCCTTAAATCCAGGTCTTGGGTTGCAGCTTTTAAGGAGTGATCTCTAGATTTCATTGTAGTGAGTGTGGAATTCAAAGTTCCCGTGTCGATATAGACTGAAAACATAGGATGTCACCAGCTTTTTCCTTTAACTGTTACACAGCCTGGAATTTAGTACTGTTGTCATGGCAGCAGCTTACTGGCCTTTGTCTGTATTTCTGCCACTACTTTGAACTAGAAGCAAGATGTAAAACATTCGCGATTTTGACTGTTGACTGCTGAGAAAATCGAGTTCTATGAGAAATATTTGATATTATTTTAAGTTATGTTTTCAGTATTTGGTGACTGTAAAAGTACAAACTCAAGACTAACAGGACACTAACTTAAAGATTCTGCACACTTTTTTTTTTTTCAATTTGTTTTGGCAAATGTGAAAGTAAATTAATGCTATCAAATCCATATGCAAGCAGAGGGCTGAATATCCACTATCACTGCTGTGTGGATGAACATGCTGTTTAACTGTTTTGTTTGTATAAAAATAATTTAAATGACTTTGTATGTTTATTTAGACATGTGCTTTTTTTGTACTAAAGTCTAAAGGAGAATTTCTGTTGCTTCCTTCAACGAGTGTAGTGGCTGCAATTGTGTCAGGCTAGCTTTGCACTCCTGACCTCCACTGTAGAGAATCAGAGGAGAAATGTGAAACATGCAGGTTATTGGCTCTGCCAGCACGCTGCCTCAGACTTGCAGCTCCCATCATTGCCAGGAATCTGGAAGAGGATCGTGCCAACTTAGAGCCATGCTTCTACCGGCTGATGGGAAATAGACAAGGCTGAAGTGTTTTGTTGTTCACATCCGTTATGAAATTTCCACTGAAGCCCTGAAACCCTCAGAAAGTCTAAAGTGTAAAAAATAAGTGGTCTCTGTGACACCACCCACTGGCTTGTGGGCTGAGGTTTTGAAGCCTCAGGTTTGACACCATCTAAGACATGTTAGGCGTCATGTTTCTGACCTGTAGCAACCCCCATCTTTCATATATTATCTACGATTCAAACAAACAGCTAGTGACCTACCAACGGTTGCCACATCCATGTATGTTTGTGTATAGTATGTGTGATTATTTGTTATATTGTGGGTATTAGTGAAAAAGGCTAAGTTGTAATAATACAGTGCACACTGGAGCTTGTGTTTATTTTTAAAATGTAAATAAATTACAGAACCTTTTTTGAAAAAAAAAAAAAAAAAAAGAGAAACATGTATACTGATTTTTTTTTTTTCTGATTCTATTTATCCTGTGGAAAAATCTCACCTTGTCTATTTGTCTACATTCAGTTCAATTCATTTTTATTTATATAGCGCTAAATCAGGATAACGCAAGGTGCTTTATATTGTAAGGTGAAGACACTACAGAGAAAACCAAAGCAATTAGGTGAACCCTTATTAGCAAACACTCTGGCAACGGGGGGGGGGGGGGGGGGGGGGTGGAAAACCTCAATTTTAACAGGAGGAATTCTCTGACAGAAGCAGACTCAGGGAGGGGCAGCCATCTACTGCAAATGTTTGGAGCAGAGGGGAAGGGAGACAGGGCAAAAGACAGCCAGAGAGTAATAATAACTAAACAATTCAAATAATTAAACTACTAAAAACATTTTTAGTGGAGAGTGAAAAAAGGTGAGTGTGGAAGAAACACTCAGCGCATCTGTCACGGCAGTGTAACGGACTCGGCGCGGACTGAGGAAGCACGGTTCAAACAGTTCTTTATTAATGGCACTGGTGCGCTATATACATGTGAAGGGGTGGAAACACCAGGGCCCCGAGGGTCAACAGGTTGGGGAAACACACGTCTTCGTATTCCCTCCTCTCCTGGTCCGAACAATCTCCACACAAGCAGCTCACTTTCACTCACCCCAGGCGTCACAAAGAGGGCAGATCCAGATAAACCTATTTACAGAGACGTGGATTAGTCAAAGGCAAGTACGGGAACAACAGAATCGCTATAGAGCCGGGCAATACTAACAAGAGTAGCTCAATGTTCCAGCGGCGAGTAGTTCAGAGCCCCTACCTTAGGAAGAGCCAGAGATCAACTGCAAATCACCGGTGATCAGCTGCAGGTGCGTAGGCCAAGGGCGGGAGCCCAATCTGAGCTCCGCCCAGGCAGACAGGCAAGAGAGAGAGCATGGCGAGGAGAGCAGAGAGAGCAAAACAACAAACACTTGTGGCCACACTGGGCTGGCCGGGGAGGCACAGGGACCATGACAGCATCATGGGAAGCCCTCCAGGATCCTAGGCCTACTAATGGGCAGTTCAGGCTTACCTGATCTAGACTTAACTATAAACTGAAATTAAAGAGGGTGCTTGTCTTTTAAGAGCTGATTGCACAGAAGAAGGCCCTGAAAGCTGAAGTAAGCTTTGAGCAGTCTGAAAGTGAAAAGCACTAATGGAGTGATATGGTACAATGACGGGTCCTGATTGTTCAAGAGCTTGTATGTGAAATATTTCTGTATGTATATCAAAGTCTACCTGACATGTTCTTTCACTGTGAAAACAATAAACACAAGTAATGAGAGAACTGGAACTGGTAATTACGAATTTCCTGTTTATAAGATTCTTCAACGCCAGATTAACTCCTGCACTCTTCTGAATGTCTTTGGATTTCAGGGGAAACTCCGCTGCAGAAGTTGTACATAGGATGAGTGAGTAAATGTGCTTCCTCCCCCTGCTTCCTTCACAGGAAGACATTTCCAGTGAAAGGAGTAAGGGAAAAAAGAGGGCACTAAGCCTGGTTTTTCTTATCATGTCATGCTTATTCACTGAAAGAACATCATAATTGATTAAAAAAAAAAAAGCACACCCAAACCTCCTTTAACATCCAACTTGTCTTCTTACATTAAACTTGTCTCAGTCCTGTGTAAGCCCCAGTAGAAAGTGTTTCTCCCCCGCTGATGAAATAAGTAATGCTTGTAAACCACTTAAAATATATATCTTGTGCTAAACATAATTAAGGCTGGTGTAATGTCCTCCCTTGTGTTTGTTATTGTTGGAATCACTTCAGTGTGTGAGGCTGGCTGTTTAGCTGTTCTTTAAAGACCTTTCATATTGTACACTTTTAGCCCTGCGATAGACCGGCAGCATGTTCAGGAGTACCCCGCTTCTCATCCCATGATAGCTAAGATAGGCTCCAGCAGCCACCCGCAAGCCTGATAGGATCTCCATTATCTTGAGCTAAAATCAAATTCAAATTCAAATTACTGGATGAATGGATAAAAAGTAACACATGTAACCATTTTTCTCAGCAAAACAATATTCTTCTATGATGTTTATAAATAGCTATGATGTAACAAATTAATAAATCATCAAAGTAGCTTGACTCGTCAAAAAATGTGATTTGGAAATCTTGGACATTCTGAAAATCAGAAGTTAAATCCCTTTTCTTACTGGAAGGAATGCATTGCTTTCCTGTGAAGCTGCGCTTAGAGCAGGCCTTTCCTTTATGGCATAATCCCCCCAGTCATGTGCACAACAAGAACTTCCGATGAACAAGCCTGACACCACGCTTTTTTTCCAAGTTGCCATGGGGAAAATCTGCGCATATAAAAACATTTCCAGAGGAAACATCTGCCCTTTTTATGGTCACAAGAGTTCATGATGAACTGCAAAACTTTCAAAACAAGTTCAACATGGTGTTTCATTTCCTTTATATCCTTTTATTTGGTAAACTCAGCAAAACTGCTTGAATAAGTTCAAAACTACATGACTACAAGATCTAACGGTCTTGTCAAGAAAACATTGTAAACAAATGTCAAGATGTGACCCTGTGAAGACTTCCCAAAACTGGTGCCAGGAGTCTAGCGGTCCATCTGAACAAAAGGCTCTTATACTTAAACAGATATACGTGTGTTTGCTATACCATATATCAGCAAGAGAAGATACGACCTCTCCTAGAAGGTGTGTGATCTATGCCAGAACCCAATGAAGAGGAGTGAACGCACCCCCCTCTTCATGTTACACAGAGTTGTTACAGACCTCCTAGGATGAGACATTCTTTCAATCTACAAATGGTTACATACTTCTAAGCATATATATAAATATATATTTCTGGGCATAAATGACAATCCAACAATACAAATCTAACAAAAACACTTCCACTTTGGTAGAGCTGATGGTGTTATAGGAAGGAAGACTAACTGATGTGCTGAATCGGTGGCAAAGATTAAGAGGTGTGGCCCAATACTATTGACCGAAGTGTCAAAAGAAGAGCTTCAAGACAGGGGCGGAGCGTGGGGGTGGCTTACTGGGCTTAAGCCCGGGTTGTTTTGTCAGAAGCCCGGGGTCTTTTGGAGTGTAATTTTTTCATAGTTAGATGCCTGGCTGACAACTGTATAAAACAAAAAGTACACACAATATTCGAAGCACATAGTGCACACTGTGGGAATTTACGACTGTGCGTGAATCCCCCCTGATATTGGTATGATCCGAGCTCAGGCACTAAGCGACTGAGCGAGGGGGCGGGGCAGCTGCTACCTGTTAGTGCGCTGTTGGAGAAACAGAGCCAGCCATACTAAGGAGAGCTTAAGTTTGACCAGGTACCAAAGCAAATCATTCGTACCGTACAAATAATGTAAATATGACGGTGAACCACGAAAGATTGATATCAAACTGATCACTTGACCAATATTACGTTACTTGCTCTTCAAGTGAATCAACAAATGGCGAAATGAAAAGCAGAACAAATGCTATTTTTTTAGAGTCTTAGCTTACGTGTGTTTATTTCATATTTTCAGTTCTTACCCTCCCCGACTAAATCGGTTTCAGTTATGTACTGATATACAAGAATGGACATTAGAGGGTTCTTTCAAAGAAAAAACTCAGTTAAATGTTATTTTATATATTATGCTTTGTATGTTGTTCAGTATATTTCTATGCAAAACAAGAGGGATTTCAGTACACAGCAGGATATTCACATTTGTAACCAGATATTTACATACACTTTAGGGAGAAAACATAAAACATTTTTACTGTACAACATCAATTTAGAGTAAACTTTTGTTTTAGATAAATATTGAAATATATTTTGAATTAGTTAAATGTCACAATAAAGAGAGACAGAGCTGTCTATTTTTTAGCACTTTCATTAAATTTAGGAGTACATATACACTAAGTTTAGTGTTAACTAATAAGAAAACTCCAGACGATTCCATTCTGAGCTGAAGAAGCTTCTGATAGGTTAGCAGAGTCCATGTGAGTAAACTGGTGGCACAGCTGTGGATGCATATAAGGCAAAACACAAAGCCTGTTTCTGTGACATGGGAAAATCAAGAGATGTCAACCAAAACACCAGGAAAAGAACTGTGGAGCTCCATAAGTGTGGCTCAGTTTGAATACAATTTGGTGCCATTTGCAATTAAAAAATACAGATAGTTTCTCTCTTTACTCTTAAAGTTAACAAATATGTTTTTATATTTATCAATCTAAAAAAATAAACATTTAGTCTGATTTGATGTTACAATTAAAAAAGTGTTTGTTTTGATCTGAAGAGTTTGTAAATATCTGGTTTCAACTGTATATTTGATGATTGTCAGCACAAAGAGAGAGAGAGAGAGAGGAACAGAGAGAGAGAGCAGAATGAGGACAGAACAGAGATGGAACAAGAGCAGGTGAGACACACATGTTAGTCAAATGGTTGCTTACTAAAAGTATCACCGTATCATAGGTACTCATGTATCTTGTACCTAGTGTTTCTTTTTAGGTTTGCTATTTTTCAAATTCTATATTTATTAAGTTATGCAGGCTTGTTTGCACAACAAGGCCAAAATAATTATATAAACTTTTCTCAATCTAAATATTGTACTTTGGTAGAATTAAATAAATAAGTGTAGTGCGGGTCTATGATGATTTTTAGTGCTGCTATCATCTAGTTCTGATTCTGGTTCTGTTTTGGTTAAGTCCTCAGTAGTCCTGCTTTTGAACTGTTTTAATTCTGGATCAGTTCTGCATCTGGTTGAATTGGGGTTTAGTCCCTGTGTCTTGATACAGCCCCGACTTCGTTCTGTCTTGCTGCTTAATTAAAAAACTAGTTTAAGGTGTCCTGCATGTGTGATATATATATTTCCCTATATGAAGTCATTCTTTTTTGAACAAAACTCAAAACAGAGCCTATTAATCTTTCAGTCATTTCTACACCCCCCCCCCCCCCCCCTCAAAAAAAAAAAAAAAAAAATCCCACATGCATACTACCCTTTAGGGCTAAGCCCCGGGTGTTTCAAATGTCTGGCTCCTCCTCTGCTTCAAGAAGACTGTTCCTAAAATCTATTTATAGAAATGACAATGAAAACTTGCCTGGAGCTCAGGCTGTGTTGAGGAATAAATGTGGCGACACTAAATGTCAACTTTCAAGTTCACTGGAATTCTGCAAACACATTTTTTCCTTACAGTGTATGCCCAAGTATGTTTGCACACGTTTCAATAAATCATTGCATCTATTTATCATTAATATATAAAATATAAATATGTGTAGTTCAGGTCCCTTGCGCAGCCCTGTAGTTTATAGATAATATATTATAACAATGTAAGCACACCCCCTTTAATCCAACCCTAAGTAAACGCTACACTTTCAACAAGCGCTTCTTGATGACGTAAGTGGCTGCATTGCGCCTGGCGTTGTCCTTGGATACGGGATTTCTCCTCTTAGCTTGTTTCGCTAAGAAGATTGGACTCCGTCTTTGCTCGCTTGGCTGATGTTTTGTCGGTGTAGGCTCACAGAAGTTGCCTCTTAGTATAACTGATAGGAGTGGGACAGCATGAGCGGTATCGACTACAGCGTGTGGGACCACATCTACGTGTCAGACGATGAAGATGTCACGTGCCCGTTCGTGGACACTCCGAGCTTGTTCAGAATGAGACACCGGGTCAGCAGTGACAGTAGTGCTAGCCGTGAAGTTTGGAGTGCTACACCTGGTTAGTCTTCCCACTAGTAAACCTGTAGTAGCAAACCGAGAGGGAGTAGACAGTTTGAGCAGCCGGTGTTACTTATGTGTAAATATACAGCGGATATACGCAATTCGGCTGCAGGCTTATTTTAAGCCTTTAGTTTCGTAAAGGCAGCCACCGATAGAGAAAGAAAAAGCAACGCTGTGTGTGAGATAGTGAGGTAATTCTGTAAAGTTTTGGGGGGTTTCCATATACTTTGCTGTTGGGTAACATCAGGTTATTTTAAAAGGGGAAATTACTTGAAATCCTTTAGCATCTGAAACATGGTAAACAACAAGGCATTTGAAGGAAGAAGGCAAAAAAAAAAAAAAAAAAATACTAAAAGAGGAAGACAGCTCTTAAAGAGAAGTCCACTGCCAAATTAACAACAACAAAAAATGTTTCCAAAGTCAAAAAAAGAACCACTAGAAGAGATTAAAAGTTTACTTTAAATGATCAAAACATACAAATGAAACCTGCAGTGTCATTTAACAGGAAATGTAACATGTAGCATGTAAAGATCTGCTCCTGATCTCCAAAGTAATAATAGGCTTTCCTGGAGCTTTCAGTCCCCTCCTACACTCTGCTTGATGAGCTTTTCCTGAGCTTTCTAATGCACTCTCAGAGTCTTCATCTCTTTAATGGTAAACACATTAAAAGTATGCTCATCTAAAATGTGTATTGTACACTGAAGAGATGTCACATGTTTAATGTTCGACAGCAGTTTTACTTCTCTGCTTTTCATTTTAAGTTTGAAACGCATGCCAGGATTTTGAGAAGAAAATTAATCTAAATGACATTAGTTAGAAGGTAAAAAGGAGTTTGTGTAAGTAAGATTAAAGTGCGTTTGCTACAGTAACACTGTTGGTCAGACTGTGTCTGTCTGTGGAAACTGGCTCTGATAAGCTTATCTCATTGTTACCGTAGAAAGTGAAAGGTTCTAGAGAAACTTTCATTTCAGTATTTCCCTGGCTTCTGTTGCCTATTGTGTCACCTGTTTGTTTTTTTAACACTTTACAGTTTGAAACATAAAAACTTTCCAGGATAACGGGAAAGTTTTTACATTAACACCACTGTGTTTGAAATGTTAACTGTGGAGAAGAAAATTCCAGTTAGATTTTTTGAACTGTGTGACTGTATAAATGTGACCACATCATGTAAACTCACTCATGCACTTACACAGTGTCAATAAAGCTCCCAAAAGTCAAGGCAAGAATTTGTTCAGAGACTGTTGAACTCAGACTCCAGTTGGAGTTCAATGACCTTGTTTTCCCGTCTGCACTGCAAACACATTTAAAACTAAAAGAGGCCAAAGGGCTGTGAAACAAGCTCTGAGGTCTCATGATTGCGGTTATTTGTCACCTTGTTGGTCGCTCTGTAGATTTCATTCTTCTGCGTAAGCTGAGCCAATCATGTGCTACCTTTTTCAGTCAGGAAGGAACATGTCATGGAGACACATGAGATATGTGAAAAAAAAATGGCAACACAGCTTCTGTAAATAGAACATTTCAGCAGTCAGTGCACTCTGTGCTGCTGTTTATTTTTAATGTGACTGCTTGCGCTGCCAAAAAAAAAAACCCAAGCACATGCAGTTCATCTGTAAGGTTTAGGCTGCAGTACAACCTTGTACTAAAGTACCACTCAACAGGTTTCCATAGATATTATGTTCTGTTGGACACGAGTTACCATGGTGATAAAGCTTGGTTGAAGAGCACCACCTTCGACACAATAACAACTCTTAACGGTAGATTCACACAGGGAGAAATAAAACAAAATAATGTGATGCTATAAATATATCCAGCTGTTTCTATGTGCAGTGTTGAGCAAAAGTCTGAATCTGTGCCTTTGTTCTATTCAGGTATGCTTTTACTGCACTGGCAGTGTTTTTGAGATCAGTGTCGTGGTGAAAAATGAAGCCGATAGCTGAACTGCAAATGAGTGAAAAAGCAGTTAGTGTCCTAAGAAAATCCTTTAAACCTTTAAGAAATCCTGAAGAGCTATTACTCAAGACCACTTTTAAAAAGGACAAGAAACTCTGGCCCCTGGAAGCAAAACATAAAGAAAAGAGTAGTAGCCCAGCACTTTTTTCACTGTTCTTTTAAGCCTGTTATTAGCACACAGTACCTTTAATATAACGGTCAACCAACAAATCATCAGTGCATACACACAAGCACTACAGATATCACGTTAGATATACTAAAAAGAAACGTGTCAAAGCCAAAACTGTAGCAACCAAAGCACGGCCGTGTCATCTCAATGATATTCTTTTTGGCAGCGGTCAGTCAAAGAGCATACAAACATGCTCGTTTGCTCTTCTTTTTAAATGCAGTCGTGCGCTACCAGAAGTACCAGATGTTATTCTTGACCACTTCACTACCAGAAGTGGTCAAGAATAATATAATCTATAATCTATTATAACACAGCTCAGTCTTTCTTTTTTGTGGCTCAGAGAAAATATTGTGAGGCAACTTAAACTTATTGACCTTTGATCTTTCTCCTACATCAGGTATTGATTTTTTCTGTAGTTTTTAAATTCATTAAAATTCTTTAAAACTACAGAAAAGCAGTACCTGATGCAGGGAACTGCATTTGTACTTTTTTCCTATTATGCCATCTTTAAAGTGGGCCTGCAAAGCCCTTTTTCAGCTTCAGCTTTTTATTCTTAGACTTTGGAAGACTAGCTTGACATGATTCATAGATTAAAAATTTTCTCATTGACCATAAACAGCACCTCACTGCGTCCACTTCCTTGCTTTAAAGTCAGATTTCATCTGATTGGCTGCACCATTAAAAGCAGAAGGTTTAAATAGCTGGTGGGTGGGGCTTATGGTCTCACTGCCAAACCTACATGCCTGAGGTAACCATATTAGGATATCATTTGTCTTTGATAACAAACAGTCTGAAGTATAGTAAAAAACTGCCAGAGATTGAGCGATTAAAGGCGTGTCAGCTCTCTGGGTTACATACACTCACAGTGGGCCAACATTAAATTTGACACATTAAACAGGATACTTCTTATTTAAATATACTTATTGTATGTTTTCTCCCTACACAGTGTCCATATAGCTCTTGTCTTGGTGTCCCTGTTTCACTTTTAAATCACTTGTGCTTTCAGCTCGGTCTCTGCCTCATGTTTATTTTACTTTTGTCTCTTTGCTCCCGTCCACTCGGGACCTCCACAACAGAGCCGGCTGGAGAAAATGGTAGAGTTTCAGCAGAGAGGGGAAGACCTGGAAACCAGCTTTGCAGAATGCAGGAGGCTATTAGAGGAAGCCCAGGGACGACTTGCATACCTAGAAGAAAGAATGAGGGAAGGAGGTGAGGATAAGGAGAGGGAGGCTGAGCTGAAAAAAGTCCAGACAGAAATAAAGAAACTGAAACAGGATGAGAAGTCCTTTGAGAAATTGCTAGAAGAACACCAAAAAGAAGAGAAGAAGCTGCCCTGGAATGTAGACACTATCAGCAAGGATGGTTTCAGCAAGGTAACGCAGGCCATCTGGGCCGCAGGATTTGTCAACTTTTCAGTTTCCTGATTTACATGTTGTCTTATCTTACTTTGCAGAGTGTGCTGAACTTTAAGCCTTTATCAAAGGAGGAAACTGGGGAGGAAAAGGTGGGGAACCACAAGAACTTTCTGAGGAAGTATGGGAAAGAAATCAAACTCTTTGGTAAGTGAGCTGGTTGTGTTTGTTGTGTTTCCCCCTATACTCCCACACAATGTTCTGCCTCACTACTTCCCTTATCTCGCTCTCTTCCACTGCTCTCCTCCTCCACCCGGTGGAAAATACGTGTCATTCGGAGTCTACAAATACATTTTTACTCATTGTCCCAGAGGTTTCAAAGACACTAAATTTATCATGGGCTCTGGACAGTCCTGTAGCTACAAGTTGTTAAATGTGTTGTAACGTGCAGTTTCTACTGATTGATAGCTCCATGTTCATAAGGTGCATGTTCATAAGAAACACTGAATGAGTGAGCTTCTTTACAGTGACAAAAAAGGGGATGGTTTACTGGTCTGGCCCACTTAAGATCACAGAGAGCCGGATGTGACCTGCTCTAAACCGACACAGCTTTTACTTGCAGTTTACTAACAGGATATAACCAATAAAATTTTTTTTTTTTTTTTTTGTGTCCCGTTTGGATCTTTAGCCATCAGAATTGTTGTCTTAAGGCCAAGAAAGATGCCAAGCGGATTTATTTTACCAAGTGGATCATCATGGCCTTGCCATATTGGTCCATTTGATTGACCTTTATTAGAATTATGTATTTATTTTATATTCAGTTGCTACAAACGGGACAGGACAGGGAGAAAGAATGAAAGAAAGAGAGGGAGGGAGAGAAAGAAAACCAAAGGGGAGAAGAGACGGTGAGAAGGGGGGGAAAAAACAAAAAAACAAAAAAACAAAAAAAAAACACCTCGGTCACCTGTATGGAGAAAAAAACAGAAGAGAAAGCAAACAACAAAGAGCAACATAGTAAAAAAAAACTGCACCATCACAACAAACTAGCTAGCAGTAGATATCAGTAGATACTAAATAATAAACGATATTGTGCAGCACGCAAGATAGACAGCGCACAATGTGCTTTGAGGCAGCAGCCAAGAAAGCTGTAGTCCGCGTCTGTGAATACCCGTGTGTACGCCTGTGTGCATACCTGTGTGGATCAGCATGCTTGCATTCCAAAGGTTTCTCCATGTAACGATCTGCTAGGGAGTGTGGGGGGGCCACAGCCCCGTCCTCCAGGGTATGAAGCAGGTATGGAGGAGATCAAAACTCCAGACATCCAGAGGCCCCCAGAACACAAGAGACCAAGGAAGACCAACAGAGGGGCAGCCGCGCCACTGTCCCAGAAAGAGCTGAGGAGAGTCCCAGATGAGGGCTCACTCAGCAGCCGCGGAGCAGAAGCCAGGGGGAGTTGCAGTGACGCGCCCGTGAGCTCCGCCGGCAGCCAGCTGTGCCTGAGTGACCGAGCCCCAGGCCGAGAGGCCGGGGGCACCCCACCTCCGAAGTGGCCCGAGCGAGCCCCAGGCTCCAGGCCCCGATAAGCGGCCGTCAAGGAGTGAGCCGGTGTGTACCCGGACGCCCACCCCCACACACAAAGAACCACTAACGCACCGATGTCTGAGGGAGTCCGCCACTGGCAGGGGAAGTGGTGGTGGGTGGAGATAGGCCTCCAAACCTTGGAGGGCCTGAGATGTCCCCAGAGAGGTGGCGTCTGATACCCAACCTGACATATAGACACAGACATACAGGCACACACAGATACAAACATCCATTCCCACCCTCATGCTCTCATATGCACTTACTGCACCCAGACCCAGGTGGTGTTACCCTTTTCCCTGCGGTGGGGAGAGGCAGACCGCCCCGACTCCGCAGCAGCAGGGAGGCCCCACACTCCAGACCGCAGTCGAACAGCCAACTCCTCCTAGCCCCCCCGCTCCAGCAGGCCGCAGAGAACGGGGGTGTGAGAAGACTCCAAACCTCCCTCCGCCCGCTCATTGTAGTGTTGATGCATGTGTGTTCTAAGGTGCATTTAAAACCCAGGAGGGCATGGAGCTACCTGCCAGAGAGCAGCAGGTAAGCGCATGGTCCCTCCTGCTAGCCCTCAATGTCTACGTGTATTTAACCTTGAGAGGTGGGCAACGACGCCAGGGGTGAGGTGTACACCCTGATGGTAATTTGGACTCCGTGTATCGTGCCCACCCCCAAGATCCTATATGTATGTGTAATGAGAGTGTGAGTAATGTGAATGTCTAAGTTGTGGGATAAAATTGAGGCAGAGGCAGCCAGAAGGGGACAGGGGGGGGGGTAGCCTCCTCTGCACCCTGGTGACATACCCCTACTCCAAGGCCCTGCATGTGTGGGTGGTTGTGGTGCAGCGGGAAGGGGGAGGCAGCTGGAGATGGGGAGGGAAGGAAGGGAGGGGCAGGTGACCCCTCCCTGGGGCCAGCTCCCCCGCTGACCCCAGTAGGCACTCCCATACTCCGCGACCCGCCAGGGAAAGGGGCCCAGGCCCATCCAGACCGGGGCCCAGCGCAGCAGCGACCCCCGGCCCCACCACAGAGAAAACTGCACCCACCCCACCATCCACTCATCTTCCAGACTACATGAGACAATAGACGCCCAGGCTGAGATCTTCCTCCACCTCTCCTGTATCTCCCCCTCCTGCAGAGAGTTCCTGTGGAGAGGAAAGCTCCTGCAAGGTGTGACAATCTCCACCACCAGTTGAAGAGCCCCCCAGGTGGCTCGACGCACCGGCGGCACCCTGCGCCAGGGATGGGCCCACATGCACCCACCCGCCCACAACACCGGCAACACACAAACCAGGACCCAAGGCCCCGAGGCCCGGCCAGGGCCCCAGCCCAGAGACGGAGCGCCCCCAGAACCTCACGCCCATCCCGGACCCACCCAGGGGCAGCCAGGCTACCAGGTCAGTAACCCACGTCCGTCAGCACAGACCCTCCCCTAGCCCCGCTGCACGCAGCCACGAGGAAACAGTCACCCGAGAGCCAAAAGAGCCCCCAACCGGAAATGACCGCTACCCCGGGTTGAGCCCCCCAAGGAAGATGCCTCCGGGGAACCCCCCGACGCCCTAAGCTTGTCCCTACCCCCACACCAATCACAACAGTGAAGGCGGGACCAAACTATGACCCCCCACCCCCACTAGGTGATGGAGCTGATCAAAGGAGCCCAGAACAATTGATCTGATGTGGTGGCAGAGGCTGTGTCAAGACTAATGTAATCTAATAGATAATTTCTATATTGGTTAGAATTAAGATTATTTTTATTTTTCCAGTTCATGAGGACTGTTTTCTTGGCTATGCATAGGGCAGTGGAAACCATATGGGCGATATTCTTATCTGAAGTGACATTATCTAATTGTCCGGTGAATTGGTTTGGCAGTGTAAGCAGTTGTTGGTAGACGTAAAGCCCATCTTGAACATCCGATGACCTGCATACTGCGCTCTATGTAGTATTCGGTGTTATATTAATTGTAGACTGGGATTTTTAATCAATTTAAAGGTTTTTAAGCATACCTGAGACCAGAAGTTTTGGTCTAAGCTGACTGATAAATCTGCTTCCCACTTTGCAATAGGAAGGGATATTGATTCATCTAATTTAGAAAGTGTTCTGTATATTTTAGATAATAATTTGGGGGATTTAAGAGTAAGGAAATGTGCCGCACTTGGTGGTGTTTGTAATTCAACTTGACTGAGGTTAAATTTCTTTTTTACTATGGATTTAATTTGTTGATATTCTAAAAACCTTGTCTTGTTGATCCCATATTGTGCAACTAGTCTGTCAAATGGAATAAATTCTGTTCCCTCTAATATATGTTCTAAGTATTTAATTCCTTTACAACTCCATTCTGGGAAATTAATCATATTATTGTTTTGTAATATGTCAGGGTTATTCCAGATAGGTGTACGTTTGCATGGGATTAATGAAGACGCCGTCAATTTTAGAAACTCCCACCATGCTGTCAGAGAGAAGCTGATGTTGATACTTTTAAAGCATTCATGTCTTTTGATGTTTGAGCTAATAAATAGTAGGTCTGAAATCTCTAGATCCTTGCATAGTGCCTGTTCAACATCTAGCCAAGGCTCATCCAAGAAGGTATGTTTTGACCATTCTGAGATGAACTGAAGCCTGTTGGCTAAGAAGTATTGGTGAAAATTAGGCAGATCTAATCCTCCTCTATCCTTGGTTCTTTGTAGCGTTTTTAAGCTGATACGCGGGGGTTTATCTTTCCAAAGGAACTTAGAAATATATGAATCCAGAGATCTGAACCAATCTTGTGATGGTTTGTTAGGGATAATCAAAAATAAGTAATTTATTTTTGGCAAGATCATCATTTTTATAGTGGCGACCCTTCCCATGAGTGATTTGGGTAAAGATTTCCATCTAGTCAGATCGCCTTCTACTTTCTTTAGAAGTGGGATGTGGTTTAATTTAGTTAAGTCTGAAAGCTTAGGAGAAACATTAATACCTAAATATTTAATATTTCCGGATTGCAGTGGGGCAGGAGCAGTTAATGGGGAGAACTGTAGATTTTGGCCAGTTAATTGAATAATCTGAAACTCTTGAAAACCAGTTTATTAGAGTAATTACCTCAGAGAGGTTGGTTTGTGTGTTTTGCAGAAAAAGCAACACATCATCCGCATAGAGACTGATTTTATGTTCTATGTTCTTACATTTTATGCCCTTAATTGTTGTAGCCTGTCTAAATGCTGCTGCTAGAGGTTCGATAAAAATTGCAAAAAGTGAAGGGGAGAGTGGGCATCCCTGTCTGGTGCCCCTCAGGAGACAGAAGCTGGAGGATGTCTGGTCATTTGTTCTGATACGAGCTGTTGGGGAATTGTATAATATTCTTATCCAGTTTATGAAAGAGTTTCCAAAACCAAATTTGTGTAAAGTTGCGAATAAAAATTTCCAGTTAACTCTGTCAAATGCTTTTTCTGCATCTAGAGATAATATTATGGTTTCGATGTTTTTATTGTATGAGTAGTCAATTAAATTAAGTAATCTACGAGTGTTTGTTGAGGAGTGCCGACCTTTTATGAAACCAGTTTGGTCAGGATGAATTAAGAGGGGGGTTATTTTCTCTAATCTCTTTGAGAGAGCTTTGCAGATTATTTTAAGGTCTACATTTAAAAGAGAAACTGGACGATAGCTTGAGGGAAATAAAGGGTCTTTGCCTGGTTTTAGCAGGAGACTAATGTTGGCAGAATTCATATTTGGTGGTAGTCTGCCATTTTCCTCGATTTCCTGCAACATTCCGTGGAATACTGGTGCCAGAATTGTCCAGAATTCTTTGTAGAATTCTGCAGGGAAGCCGTCTGGACCTGGAGCCTTATTATTGGGCATACCTATCAGGGCTTCCTGGAGTTCACTTGGCGTCAGTGGCGAATCCAGTTCCATTGCTTGACTGTCTAGTAATTTTGGAAGAGTTACGTTGTCAAGAAACAGATCAATTTCATTTTTAGATGGGTTTATTTGTGGTGAGTATAAAGTTTCATAGAAATCCCTAAAAATGTTGTTTATTCTTCCAGGGTCATATATTGTGTTCCCCGATAAATCTTTAGCAGCACATATAGTTGTTTTTTCTTTATTTATTTTTAACTGATTAGCTAGAAATCGACCTGATTTCTTACTGTGTTCAAAATTCTGCAAGCAAAGTCTTTGTATAAGGAATTGTGTTTTTTTATTAATAGTTTCATTTAATTCTAATTTTGTCTTGCGTATTTTGTTCAATGTTTCCTGATCTTGGTCGCACGCGTAGGCTTCTTCTAGTGATTTGATGGTTTTTTCTAATTCCTGAATATTTTTGTTTTCTTCTTTCTTTTTGTGTGATGAGAAAGAAATTATTTTAGCTCTCATCACAGCTTTCCCTGCTTCCCATAGAACAGAAGCAGATATTCCGGGAGTGTCATTAAAGTCTAAATATGAAGTCCATTCTTTTTTAAAATATTTAATAAAGTCTTCATCTTTAAGCAATAATGCATTAAATCTCCAGTTTTTACTTGGCGTAGTATTATTCTTGTGCATTAGTGTTAAAGATACAGGAGCATGATCGCTGACAGCTATAGGATGAATCTCAGTGTCTGAAATGTCACACAGCAGTGAGCTGCTGACCAGAAAATAATCCAGACGAGAGTAAGAGTGATGAACATGCGAGAAAAAAGTATATTCCTTACTGTTGGGGTGAAGGGAGCGCCATGCATCGCGAAGGCCAAAGTCGCTCATATACTGTTTGATTATATTTGTGGATTGACAATTGCGCTGAGTTCCTGTTGTGTTGAGCCTATCCATGTCTTCATTTAGTCCAAGGTTGAGGTCACCGCCAAGAATGAGTGTGCAATCGAGGTGTTCAGAGAGTGTACTAAAAAATCCGTGGAAGAATGAGGGTTCATCAACATTTGGACCATATATACTTTCAATACATAGTTTTTTGTTCAATATTGATAGATTAATAATTAGAAATCTACCCTCTGGATCTATAACTGTATCGAGTACTGTAAAATTAACATTTTTATGTATTAAAATTGCTACTCCCCGTTGTCTAGAATTATAACAGGCTGCAAACACGTTAGGAAACTCAGGTGTTTGAAGTTAGTTTAAACCTGTGACAGGTCTGTGAGTTTCTTGTAATAAAACAACATCTGCCTGTAGTTTTTTAAGCTGGTTAAATATCTTTAACCTCTTTCCTCTTTCCAATTAAATTTTTTTAAGTGTGGATTTCCTGTTTGTAAAATTATGCTTGGAGTGACATTAACAGGACCACACCCAGTAAAATATATCCTGAAGGGACTTCCACTCGCTCAGATTTCCTGCTGATTAAATGCCTTCAGCTTTTGTGTGCCAGAGTTCTTCTGAAACTAAACAAACTGGGGAGGGGTCATGGAGAAGGAGGGTGTTGGGTCTGTGTTTCCACAAGCCCCGCTAATTCTAGAGAATTTCTTTCATCATAGTTAAAACAATGTACAAATGGTAAACATAAAAATGACAATCATTTAACAATTCACTCTAACAGAGGGAGTATGTTTTTAACTGCGTCACATAGAAACGGATAAAGAGTAAAATTTAGTGTGTCCACACACTTTCTTAAAAAGATTCCCCTTTTCCTATCTTAGAAGCTCTCGATTTTTACGACTTATCTTATCAGCCCATATTAATGTTAATAATTATTATTGTTGTCACAGACTTAATGGAGTTCCCCTTAAAATGGGTTGTGTAAGCAGTCAAATATTTCTAAAAAAGGGATGAGTTGAGTACCAAGAACAGCAGTGATTTCGCAACTGGAGCCAGTATTTCAGTGACTGAAAGCAAAGGACTTACAAAGTGTTTGCTTTGTAAGTCCTTATACACACTGTTATACACAGTATACACTGTTACTGTAGTGGGTATTCATAATAAACATGGACAAAGTTTCAAACAATGAAGTTAGCATAGGAAAAAAGCTCAGGCTTTACGCTGCTCTGAACATTTTTCATACTCTTGCTCCTGATGTCACTGGCAGCGGATATCCCAATACTGTTTATTAAGAGCACAATAGTGGCTGTGAGCAGAAGAAATAACCAGCTGCTATGTTTATGAGAGCAGCTATTCAAAAGGAAGCTGGCTAAAATAAAGGGGAAAGAGCATTTTAATGGTGGTGACAGTGGGTGAGAAGAATTTTCCTGAGAACTGACAAAGCAATGAAAAGAAGTCCAAGATCTCATTTTGTAAGATCTAAAAATATTGAAGCTGATCTCTATTTCCATTCTTTTTTCAATCATATAACTTCAGGAGATGTGCTTGTGCTCAGCATAATGCTCAATACGATGGCGTCTTCCAGGGATGCTGCGGCGCTGGGATGACAGTCAGCAGTATCTGTCAGACCACCCGCACCTGGTGTGCGAAGAGACTGCTAATTACCTTGCTGTCATCTGTATCGAGTATGAGATAGATGAGGTGAGTGCAGTGAGGAGCGTGTGAGTGCGTGTTGAGGTTGAAATTCAGGCAGGTAGAGCCTTCAAAACTCTCAATATGCTTGCAGAAACACGCCCTGATGGAGCAGGTGGCCCACCAAGCCATCGTCATGCAGTTCATCTTGGATTTGGCTCGGACGCTGAAAGTTGACCCAAGAGGCTGCTTCAGACAGTTCTTCTCAAAGATCAAGGTATGCTACTTAAACATGCCTTACTGTGCAGTCGCTATGCTCAAGAGAATTCAGTCATTGTCATATGTGTGCATGTCCATGTCAGACTCTAGATAAGTCGTACCAAGATGCATTTGAGCATGAGCTGGAGATGCTAAAGGAGCGGGTCCGCAGTTCTGCACAGACTCATATGGAGAATGCTGTGAAAGAGTTGGAGGAGGAGGAAATACAGAAGAGACTGGGCCCAGGTTGTTTGGACCCTGTAGAGGTCTATGAATCGCTACCAAAGGTAGGCCATACATGCAGACACACTCTGGAGAGAGTTTTGGAACAGCAGTTTTTCATGCAAACTTCCCGCCCCCAGTCTCTTTCCTTGCTCTCTGTTTTCGTATCCCAGAGTTTGTAGCACACTCTCTTTGTTTTTCAGAATAATTCATGGGGCGTGTTTAGAAAGTCAAAGGTTCCTACACACACTGTAAGCTTCTGCAACATTTTATGCAATCGCACACTGCAGCTAAACACCTCACTGTCTTGTTGTTAAATTGCCTCAACTTTTAAACATTGTTAAAGTGTCCTAACTGTACACAGTAGCTCAGACGCTTTGTTTTGGTATACCAGGTGAAGCTAAAAGCCCAGAAAAGTCAAAACTACAAATTAGCTCAGAGAAGCTGTAATTATCCAGTGAGGAGTGGCTAGGAAGTGGAAGAAGAAATAACAGGCTTTTGAAGGATGGACGATGCAGTCTTCTTAAACGTAGATATATTTAGAGAATATAGCTTCTCCTTAACTATTTAAAATTTAACACATTCACACAACAAAGACGAGCTCCTCCTCCTTCATGCTACACTTGACACATGCTAACCCTGTTGTAGTCATAAAGTAAAGGCCTAATTATCCATGCAGTTTATGTTTTTTATAGATAATTACAGTCCTGTTGTTGGAATATTCTTCTCTTACTCGTTTTGTTTTTTGTTCTTTTTAAATCAAACAGACTTCAGCATTAAACCTAACCTTGATAAGTGATTCTACTTTGAACTCACACAACATTATATAATGTTATTCGGGGGGACTTAGTTGGTAATCTTAACTTGCATGTATTGTTCCGGCGTTCTCATTGGATGGATTGTTTATGCACCTTTACTTTAGCTTCACTGACGTTGTGTTTCACAGCCAAGGTTTCTTTTCAAAGACTGAAAGGTCATTAAAAGTCCCTCTCATCTCATGCCATAAAAAAGAAAAGCCTTGTTACTTTGATAATCGTGTAGTTTGTGCAAGTGATCGTGTTGCCATTTGGATAATCAGGTGAGTCGGTAGAATAAAGGTCAGCAGAGTGGACTCCACCTGTCAGACGTGTGTGCAGTGCAAGGTAAACACTAGCAGGTTTACATATGTGCTTCAAATAAGTTATGCTAACGTTTCCTTCTGTTCAAGAAAGCAAGTTCATATTAATATAAAAGGAGAAGAGTGATGAATTTATTGTCTCATAGGAGGTAAAGAGGAGCTTTCATGAGAAGAACATTCAGATGCTGCAAGAAGCTATGAGCAAGCTGGACCCTGAGGTGTGTGTGTGTCTCTGCCTAAAATAATTTATAGTCATTAAAAGCGGCCTGATCAGAAAGTTTCTGTGTTTGTTCTTGCTGTCTCAAACTGTTGTCACCATGTTTTTTCTGTCTATAGGAAGGAAAATACCACCTGAAGAGGTGTATTGACTCTGGATTGTGGGTCCCTGATTCCAGAGGGGATGAGGATGGGGAGGAAGATGGGGACCAGGAAGAGGATTAATAATACTTTATTATAAACCTAGTCAGTGTACCGACTGTGTGTTGTTATATAAGTGTTGTTTCTGGCTGCTTAGTTTTTAAATGTCTCCATGTTAAACTAAATCTAGTCAATTAACTGCATATACATATACTGTGAAATGTGCATTGTATATTTTTTAATAAAGGAGTATTTGAAGGTTAGTTTTAAAGAAGTATTTTTATGAATCAGTTCTTATTATTGTTACTGACAGTATTGACAGATTTATCCCTGCTGTTAATCATCTTTAAAAAGCCAGTTCTCTCAAACATGTTAATACAATCTATGTTTTGAAACTCTATAGTTACTCAGGATGTACTTTTAGTTTCACAGTTGTAGCTGGGTCACGTTTCTCTGCAGCTTATAAAAACACTCTTCTCTCTCAGTATGAACGCTTCATGTCACCGTCCATGTCAGGCGTAAAGAGCAGTTTTTTCTGCTTGGTTGTGTCTGTTGTCCCATTGTGGTCAACAGCGCCACCTAAAGTCGTATTTGGGGAAAGATGGCCGAGGCTGTGTGGTCGACAGCTTTTTTGTGATTGTTGAATCTTAAGTTCATTAAAGATGTAACTGTTAAATAATATATCAACAGAGAATGAGCTGGACACATGCATATAATCTTTATTATTTAGTTAACTTGAAATAAAGTTAATTCATTAATAGATGTGTCGATTGTTGCATTATTTTGATTTATTTATTTATTTTTATTCTTGCGAAACTTCATTAAAATTTTTTATGTTTTGGCAACATAGCTTTGATAAACTGTCGTGCCAGTGAAGCACCATTGGACTGGATTAAATTTGAATTTAAATATCAAGCTAAAGGCACAAGTTAAATGAATAAAGCAAAAAGAAAGATCCTGTACAAACACACATTTTATAGATTTATTCCAGTGACTGAAAAGGAAGTTACACTATATGTTACTCAAGCTCAACAAGTATTGAGTTTAGGTCATAAAAAAGTGTGCTGCTTTGAATTTAAAGAAAGACGTTTAACAGTGAGCAGGCTTATTATGCACTGATGACATCATATGAAATTTTAATACAGATAAATTTAAGTTTAGGGCTTTATAGTTCTTGAGAACATCAGCAGCCATCTGTGCTAACTCAGTGACATGAATCCAACATCTTTGTTTTTAATCCTCTTTCTCCATCTTTACTTCACACAGTCTATCGCAGCTTGTGTAATACCCTTCATAGCATGACAGAGGGCACTTTGATGCTTCACTGTTATCCCACACCCCACCCAAAGTGACATCAGATGGACACACTGAAACAAGAAAAATAGAAAAAAATCACTTTAAAAATAAAGAAAAGTTTACTAGAACGTGTTTAAGCTGGTGTAAGTTTATCTTGCTACTACTATGATTTTTCCAGTTTACAGTGACGGACACAAGACACAATATTTTATGCATATATGCTTGTTTTTATGACAGTGTATCATTGGTATGATGCACCTTATACCATAATACACCATATTATAAGTAAGTTGAGCCAAATATGCTGGCTCTTATCCAGCTATGTTTGAAACAATTCAGATTGAGCGCCTGAAAATCTGTGGAAACATTATCAGTTTATTGCTGCTTTTTGTGGGCTTTTGTGGTTAGGTGCGGACATTTCAGACTAAAACTGGCAACTGTTTTTATTTATGATCACAAAGCTGAACACAACATTGCCGCTTTGGACATATATTAAGTAAACAGTTTGCTTGATCAACGATTTGATGTTTTAGTCATTAAAATGTTGAATAAAGTCTCCAGCCCATTCAGATCATTTTCTCTTTTTTGACAAACTGACATTTCAGCTCGGGTTTTGCTGCTTGTGTCTACTCTGGAGTTTCTTATGCTGTATTTGTCCCTGGAAGTCTCTCTTACAATAAACTGAGCTTAACTACTGTCCATTTATTTTTCTCTAAGTGCTCTCTCTCTCTCTCTCTCTCTCTCTCTCTCTCTCTCTCTCGCTCCCTGCCACTTGCATAATGAATTGCTGGGCCGCTCTCTCTCTCTCTCTCTCCTTCATAATTAATTGGTGGGTTTGATTTAGCATTCTAAATCAATTTTTTCGAGGCAAAGCGTCTTTGCGCTGTCACTTTTGCAAATAGGGAACAATCAGTGCAGGTCCTGGGGAGGAATCAAATCTAGATAATGCCTATAAAAGCTGATGGGAGAATAACAGAACAGCAAGGCAGCGTCATGGAAAAAAAAATGTTTGTGTGTGTGTGTGTGTGTGTGCGTGGACAATTTCTATTATTATTTGGCTGTAATGCTAACAAATCAGATCCTCTCTCAATGACAAAAGGCAGCACAGGTTTAGTATCTGCTCAAGCTATTCTATTCACAGTTTCTGTGAGTATCAGTGTCTGTCTGAAAAACTAAAACACTGGCTCAGTGTTTCTCCTTCCTGCTTCTCACGTGTGAATTTGCTGCCTTAATTTGTCCTAGAACAAAAGGCATTGAATACCATGCATTGTGATGACCCCTGGAAATCTATCTATCTATCTATCTATCTATCTATCTATCTATCTATCTATCTATCTATCTATCTATCTATCTATCTATCTATCTATCTATCTATCTATCTATCTATCTATCTATCTATCTATCTATCTATCTATCTATCTATCTATAAGACGTTTATTGCCATATATGCTGTAAAACACAGTGGTTATGTGGGCTCCTTTCACACCAATACATAACTTAAATAAACAAAAATAGAAAAATAATATGCACAAGAAAAATTAAATAAACAAAGCAAGTACTGTGCAGAAGGGTAGAGTGTATTCAGACTATAAAGTGTGATTGCTTATGCATACTATAACAATCTTATGATATAATATTGTACCTTACAATATAAAGCGGCTGTTTGTTGGCTGGTGCTTTATAAATAAACCTTGGTTGAAAATTAAATAAATACAAAAGATACAGAAACAGTGTATTGAGAACTGTGCTGCATGCCCTTGAATGGCTGTAAAAATAGCAAAGAGGCGTGGGAGGAAAAAAGGAGAAATGAATGCTTATTGTGATCTGTGGGTTGTTGTTTTTTTTAATATGAGTGGTTTGTTCCAATAAAAATGTGCCCTGTGTCGTGGGTGGGTGTGATGGAGAGCGATGAAACTGACTATTGAAACAGAGGATCAGTGTGTGGCTGCTAATAAGATGGAAAAAATAGAAATAGACAGGAGTACCGATGGAGAGAGGAGGAGGAGAGGAGCGGAGAGTGTTGTATGGGATTAATGGACATACTGTGCGTCTGTGCAGGAGGAGGGAGAGGAGGGAAGATGGGCTTCTCCGTGGAGGCTGTGGCGGTGGTGGGAGGGGGGGTGGCTGGGGGAGACCACTGAGGCAGGGGAGAGGGAGAGGAGAGAAAGGGAGGGAGGGGAGCTGGTAAAGCTACGGATATTCATGAAAACAGCAAGTGTGTGTGTGTTTTTTTCTTTCCCCCTCTAGCCGTGGCGATACACCGCTATGTCTACAGAAAAACAGAGGGAGCAGGGGAGAGAAGGAGAAGGCGACAAGTGAAAGCAAGAGGAGGCGCAGCCCATCTTGCTGTTGATCTTCAGGCGATCAAGGTGAGTGTGATTTTTTTTTCCTACATCCTCCAGTCTGTGTGTGCCAGTGTATGTGGACATGTGTGTGTATGTGTGTGTGACACATACCTCATGCAGTGTGTGCAAACAGTCATGACAGCAGGGGCATTCCTCATATGTGAATGTTTTCAGCATGTGCGCGCTCGCTTTATATATGTATTTGGGTGTTTTGTGAGAGAACAGCAGGCTGGTGGTTGAGCTGCATATTGATGCATAGCTGCTTGGTTTTATAAGCTGCTTTATCTGTAGTGGAGGTGGTATTGGTTTGCAGCTATTGCGTGTGTGTGTAAAGGCTCAAATGCCTTGATTGTCTGTGCATATATATGTCACTGTGTCACTATGCATTTGATGATTTCTCCTCTTTTGTTTTGGGTATGTTTTTCTTTCATTTTGTTTTGTTTTTTTACCCGTGTGAATCTGTGTGGACGCTGCTGTGTGGAAGACCCATCGCTGAGAGGGTGTGTTCATGGTGACCCTTGATGAAAGTCTTCTCCAGCAGCTCTCTATGTGTGTACCAGCTCCATCAGAAACACTCTGATATGCTGAATCTGTCCCATCCAATAGAATTAGGTCAGTTTGGACTGCTCAGAGTAATTATATAACATCAGAGAGCTTTTTGGTGTTGCAGTATCTGCTCAGAATTAGCCACACTGTAGGTACGGCTCCAGCAAGGCCAATCAAAACACGTTGTCCTCGCTCTGAGTTATTTACCAGTCAACCAGCCATGTCTTGAGAGTTTTGTTTGGAGGCTTTTTTTTCATATATGAAATTTGTATCATGGAAAACCACTCACATCTTCTGTAGTACTGTATACATGAGGACAAGTTTTTCCAATTTTATGATACATCAAATGAATTCACTGAAATAAGACAGGAAAGAGTATTTCTGTTTTGTTCTTGTTTTTTAAAGTCTGTACATACTAACACTTAATTTCTGTTTTCTCACAGGAAGATTTTTTCCAGGATTGACTCTGGCAGATCAAACCAGGATGTTTGGACTTCTCAGACGAGGTCATGCTTGACACGTCTTCCTAAGCAGGATTTGGATCCAGACCATGACCAGTCATATTGTGGATGATTGACCTGAGAAAGGAGAGGACCAAATTTCTCTGTAATCTCTTTGGAGTTTGGATTCTTAATTGTTGGGAAATTGCCTTCATGTGGAATCAGGTTAACAACTGGGGAACATCATGCAGACAACTCTCAGAGCTGGATAGACGTTTTAGAGAAAGGGGTTTCCTTTGGCAACGGCATCATGAACCCTGACTGAGATGTTCATTGGCTCATCTGGCCAAAGCAAGACAACATGGAGTGACTTTTTTTCTTTCTTCTGCCTTTGACTTTGGAAAACAGACAGATCCAAACAAAGGTCAGCGGCCTCGGTCTGAACCTGCAGCCTTTGAGGGCTGCGTAAATGCTCCTTTACTGTTCTCCACCACGCTTTACTTCAACCACCTGAAGACTGAGGTGCAGAGGGAGCGCGAGTGAGGCGGTTGGCTGGCCGAATCCGCTCCAATGGGGGCCGGTTGTGACCCGGTCTGACCCCGGTTTGACCTTGCAGTGACCTCTGACCTCTCCGGTCCTGGCTCTCCACCTGCTCTGCTGCCTGGGTTCCGGAACGCTCCGCCCTGGGGCCCAGAACGAGCCAATCAGAATGAAGAAGAGCCGCAGCGTGCTGTCGGTGACTGGAGAAGAGGTGAGGAGGAAGATCTGAACAATCAGGGAAAATCTGCTAACCTTGTCACAGTCACAGAGACCGTAGATCCCAGGCCTAGTAGCAGACTGTCTCACTGAACTCTGTGTGTGTGTGTGTGTGTGTGTGTGTATGTGTGTGTGTGTGTGTGTGTGTGTGTGTGTGTGTGTGTGTGTGTGTGTGTGTGTGTGTGTGCGTGTGTGTGTGTGTGCAACTTGAATGCCTACCGTCACATAAACGCCCCATGACTTTCACACATCCAAGCTCTCTTTGTTCCCGCACACACTCAGAAGTCCGAGTGGACAGTTTGCATCCTCCAGCCTACACTCACCCAGCAGGAGCCACTCAGTCCCAGTCCTCTATGTAAATGAGCCGCAGCTAAGTGAGTGCTCTATGTAAATGAGTGATTTCCGTTTAAAGGTGAAGTCCTGGCCAAAGGACATAACAGCATGCATTAATCGGGAGCTCTTTTATTGATTATACATTTTGTTATGCGTCCATGTGTGTGTGTGTGTGTCCGTGCGTGCATGCGTGCGTGCATGCGTGCGTGCATGCGTGCGTGTGTGGATGCGAGCATCTCCCCACATCTGGGTCTGGATGACATCAAACACAGCATGGAAGCAACACGGCACTGTTGCCTAGCAACTGCTACCATTCCCCCAGTGTTTTGTTGCTACGGTACTGCAGTGCAGATCAGCCTCTAAGAGCTCAGTCTGTAGAGGCCCTATCCCAGACACACATGCACAGTCACACACACTTACATCAATAATTTATAGTCTGTGTTTCTGTACAAGTTTCTTTGCTCGTCATTGTTTGAATATGGCAAAACAACACAGCCTGGGACATGAGCCAAAACAGCAACTGCGTTCTTCCATTTTTGCTACTGAATGTGTTGGTTTTTTTTAATCATTACACACGCAACGCAGTGTTTTTGTGAAAGACACAATATGTTCTCTTTTAATCCTCTGAAGATGCACCTTCTTGTTCCATATCCCCATTTCCCTTACCTGCCTCCCTTCTGTCTCTCAGGGAAATGACACAGATATAACAGGTGCTGGGGAGAAGGCGGAGTCATCTCGCTACAGCCGATCGTATACGTCCGGGTCCACGCTGGGGGCTGAGTTACGCAGAGGGAGGAGCAGAAGACTCTCGCCAAGTCTCCAGGTATGGGAAGATGGAATGAGCATGTTAAAGTGGCAATCTGAATGGTTCCAGTCCCATTGATTTGGTAACACCTGAAGTCACTGTTGATAGCAACAAACACTTTAGCACAACAGGTCACTGAATTATAAGGACCACCTTGGTGAGCCACCAAGATCTGTCCCTTTTTCTTCTGTTACTTCAAGCAATACTTCAAACTTATCTGAAGTTGAATAATGCAGGAAATTACCCTTTTTAGACATATAGACTGTAGTTAATAGATGAAAGCAGCTACCGTGAGTTCATCCACTGATTGTGGGCACCTGTTTTGAACCCTAGAAGGCTATAGCGATCCTGGTTTTATGAAGCCAAATTGTATCAGAGGACAGAGGTAATGATTGCAAGCTTAGCTGAATCTGTGCGAGAATTCTATAACAGCAAAGATGGTGGTCAAACTATAATTTCCAGGGAGGAAAAGCTTTCTAAAACTCTAGTTTGGAGCAAATACACCAAACCGTTTACGTCTCTTTTAATCAGATGTGACTGGTGTTCCTGTACGAGCAGTTCTCATGTCCCGCTGATCAATGAAAACTGCCCCAAAAAGTTCCTACACCAATTCACAATGCTGATGAGAGACACCTGCTAATTAGTGCTAAGTAACATACAAATAAAATAAAAGATTGCTGGACTGTGATAAAATGGGCTGCTGTGCAGATTATTAACCACACAGCAGTTTGTATAATTTGACACATAATTGCATTAAAATGTTTCTAAAGGCACCAAGTGCACAAACATGGTCAAAGGGTTCAGTTCAGCAATAAATATCATGCAAAACAAATACATATGCTACGCTTTGTCTGCTCCGTGTTTTCTATAGGAAATTATTTATAGGTTTATCACTTAGCGAGAAGTTAAAATGTTAGTGTATTTACAGCTTTCTCCTGCTGCCAAGGAAACAATAGGAAAAACTCGAAACAAAATTTTTTTTGATAGCACTTCATGCCAAAATATTTTTACCTGCTGACAAATAGATTTTGAAAATGTGGACTAGATGGGCAAATTTTGACCTCTCACACTGAAAATCACCAAAAGTATTTACAGCTAAAAAATCATTCATTCATTTCACCCTAATCCTAAAATTTTAATCACACCCTCGTGTGCACCTGATTGTGAGATATGTGTGAGAATAAAAAGCACAGCCTTCCCGCTGCTCTAAATCTACCCTTGCCTCTGTATGATGTCAGTGACACTGACTGGTCATCTCATCAGCTAGGTGTACTAGCTTTAAGCACATAAGCTCCACCCACCTATTGTTAAAACCTTGGTTAGGCAAGCTATATCTCCCAAACAGTGGCGTGTCCAGCGGGGTGGCCTGGGGGTGCACAGGCCACCCCCCCAACCAGACTGGCCACCCCAGGTGCCACCCCAAAGGCAAAACAATAAAATTCAATCAAATATCAAATGTCCGATTATGTTTTCACGGTGAAGCTCAGATATCCAAGTGTAAGTGAATGCAGCATCGGCTTCTGCGCTATGTGCATCACGTTAGCAAAGGTAGGAGAGCCAAGCACGAAAGATGGCACCGCAGGAAACAATTTTTCGGTGAAAGAAAATGACAGAATAAATGTCCCGGTAAGTAATATTAAGTTTGTTGAGTTTAGTAAACTTCGGTGAAATTAGAATACCAAAGAAAAAATAACACTTAAAGAATTATTGCTGCCATCAAATATTTCAGACAGTATGCTACTGAGGGGAGCTAACATAAGAGTTATGAGTTATAAGATATAATCTAAGTCGTAACATTGCTGTATGGAGCTGCAGATTTGGTTGCAGGTTAACATAGCTGGACTGGCCATCGGGCATACCGGGCATATGCCCGGTGACTTATTTTTTTTTATTTTTTTTTTTGTAACGGCATGAACAATGAGAGGTGGTGGATTGGCCAGATGCAGGTCGATGTGTAAAAATAACTCAGTTGTTTGGTGGTGGCTATGACGGGGCTTCCACAGAGGTCAGCAGGTGGATGAGGGAAGGGGAGGCAGGAGGAGAGCCCCGAGGCGGCCACCAGTCCGAGTGTCAGGTGAACTGAACTTCAGGTAAGAAGTTATGACCTGCAGTCTATCTGGGTCAGATATAAACCAAGTTTAGGTGGAGTTTATTTTCGTTGTGCTGACTTTTTACCCTCAGTTGCAATAACTCGTACTGCGTTCTAGCCAGCTTGACGGAGTTTTTATACAGCTGGGTGGGTGCTATGATGTTACTGATAGTGAACTTTATTTTATTCATAAGGTTAGTAGAGTTGCCAACGGCTCCTTAAAAAAAATGGAATGGTCCCTCATTCAGAGAAAATATTACACGTTTCGTATTGAGCTGAGAAGAGACGCAGTTTGTCCCGAACTTTAGCTAGGATGGAAAAAACACAAAGCTGGAGTTATTCTGTCGTTACGCTGCACAGCTGCCTCTTCTTCTCTCATTCTCTCCCCCTGCCTCTCCTGTTGCTAATTCAATCATGAAACTGATCAATGATCAGCTGATCAGCTTTTCTCTCTTGTTTATTTATCGCCCACTTTGGGCCAGAAAGAGGAAACCAGCAGATGTCGTGCTAAACAACAGCAGCACGTTTAAGCTTGACCAGCTGTTGTTAGAATTTATTTAATATTAATTTCTAATATCAGCTGATGTTTGCTGGAGCCACAGCTGTAAAGCTGCTGGTCATGATGTCGGTTTGGATGTGTGATGAGAGGGAAACGTGAAGATGAAACCAGGAGATGTCCTTACTGAATCATCAGAGCTGAACAGGTGATGGAGAAACAGGTTTACCTTTTAGGTGACATGAATGAGTTGAAGGGAAGTTATGAACTGTTTCTGAGAGATAAATAGCACCAGGATCCTTTTTTATGTAGCTGACAGCTGGTAACTGTGCAGGGGTGGATCTAGGAAAGTGTTGCCAGGGGGCCAGGTAGGGCATTAACAGGGAAAGGGGGGCACAAAGAAATACTTTTCTTTCTTATTCTCATTTAAAATATCTAGCTTTTAAAAAATAATTATCTAAATCTTACAACCAAAGTTTTTATCTGACGTAAAATGTATAGAAATCATACATATACCAACAAGACTGTACATCACTGTCACAACAGCATTTGTTTTCATTCAAAGGCTTTATGGCTTTAATACCTGGTGGGTCGGTCTGTAGTCAAAATGCCCGATTTTCTGTCCCGGTCCAGCCCTGCAGGTTATACTGGCAGTGTCACCATGCCAGCTGACTGTATTTCATCATCAGCCAGTGTTGTTCTTTATCAATATTACCAAAGTTTACCATAAGGCAGCAGAGAAAGTATTTACTTGCTTTCAGGTTTTATTCAAATGTTAGTCTTTTCAGTTGTTTCCCCACTTTTTTCCTGTTTCAAAATCAAACACCAGTTTGTGAGAAGATTATCTTCTTTTTTTAACAGGCAGATAAAGTTTTGCATTGGAATGGCTAATTTGTCAATTGTTTGTTACAAATGTTCGTATTTTAATATTCAAAAATGTTTTTGCCCAAAACATATGTGCACTACATGTCAGTAAAAATACTATGCAAATATTTCTGTCCTTGAATGCTGAGTAAACACTGACAAAGCACTGATTGTATCTCTTGTACTTTATCAACGCAGTATCTAAAAACTTTGCACCGTAGTGGTTAAAATCTCATTCTAATAAGAGTTAAAAGCGCATTCGGTTATTAGGTGTATAGGATTATTGAATTATGGTTAACGGTTGGTAGAATTTTTTTTTTAAACATTATCTGCCAATTACATCTGCCACCCTTCTCCAAATCTGTGCCCCTACCTGGCCCCCCCAACAAAAATTTCTAGACACGCCACTGCTCCCAAACAGTAGCTTTGCCCATAATTGTGCCTAGAATCACAGATCGTTGACTGATGTAATTGATTGAGTCACACCCATTGTGCCGGACTGAACCTACGTTTTACCTCACCAGGTACCTTGCTGGCTGCGACCTCGAGATCGCACCCGGTCACCAGAAGTCCTGGGCAACGCGTCACGTCCCACAACTCTTCCCCTTCGTATCCCGCCTCGCATCTCCATCACACAAGCAGACTCTGACAGGTTCACACACATTTTAAGCCCTCGTCAAATCACCGATTTCATTTTGCAGAAAGCTTTCCTGTCGTTCTCTAATCACTGCTATCATGTTCCAGTTACGAAGCAGAAAATGGCGTGTCCCCAGGTCACACCCCTTTGGGCTCCCAGAGTCCGAGCCTCACGCTCCCCACGACCTTCCCCCAGGGCCAGAGAAGAGAGTCCTTCCTGTACCGCTCCGACTCGGACTACGACATGTCCCCCAAGACGGTCTCACGGAACTCCTCCCTCGCCAGCGAAGGGTGAGAGTTAGAGAGAGATGAGATTAGTGATGACTTTATCCATGGCTGTATGAAATGTTGCACTCAGCTTTCTCTCTATTTTCCAACTCTTCCTGTCTTAGGCATACTGCAGAAGATTTTATTGTCACACCTTTTGCCCAAGTGAGTTTGACTTTATAGATTCATTTATCTTCATGAGTGGTCATAAAAACTGGTTCATACTGTTTCCAGTGTGCCCAGACACTCAATATAATTATAGGATTTGGAGGCGAAGTTTTTATTGAAACAGCAGAAATGATTGATCACGTTATTAAGCGTTCACCTCTCAGTAATATGTGTACATCTGTGTAAGCTTGTTCTGTATTTATGCTGTTTTCCTGTGATGCTGTGCGATCATTGTAGGTATTGGCTAGTCTGCGATCGGTACGGAGCAATTTCACCATCCTTGCCAACGTCTCCACACCGACCGTCAAGTCAGTATCACCACCTGTTGTCCACAGAGTTTATGTTGCATAAGTTAAAGGACCATTTGTACGTTACAGGAGTTTATAAGACCTGTTACCAATAAAAAAAGGGATGTTAGGGAAAATGTAAATAAAGACAGAATGCAAAAGTAGTTCGGTGCAAGAAGGTTTTACTTATTTTATCAAACCACATTCTGCATGTATTCCAACCATACAGTAGCTCAACATTGCTATAGGAAAGTAGCCGAGGTGCCTGATTTGACCAGCAGTGCCTTATAACATACATTTGAAAGCAAAAGTATGAAAAACTCCTCAGACAGTTACAGCTCAGTCACACGTTTAGCTTTATTTTGTATAGCATTTTTTATCTTCTATTCTTTGCCAAATGAACTTATGTATATTGTTTACATGATCGAAATAAATTAACGAACAAACAAACAAACAAAGTAGGACAGCAAGCTCCTTGCACCTTGGAAAAATCAGTAAAAACCTGTAAAAATGCAAGTTTGCAGAGCGCCTGTCATTTTGCAGTTAAATCGCTGCCCTGTAGATACGAGGTTCTGTCAGGACTCTAAATGTAAGTAATGAATGTAAACTTCAATGTGAATTTTTGTATACGTAGACAGCAAAAGATTTATTTTAAACAAATTTCACATTTAATAGATGCACTACAAACAGACCCCAACTTGATCCTATTCAGTTGCAGACTGACTCCATCTTATTGTCATTTTATTGCCACTTTGATGCCCAAACGTTGTTTTGAAGATGGTAACTGACTGCTCGTGGTCGCAGACCTGCTCCTTTCTTTAAAACAGCGAGGCGAGAAAGCTTCAGGTTTATTGTGTTTTGATGATTTTGGTCTTGCTGTAGTCTCCAACCACTGTTTCTGTCAGCATCAAACAACTGAACTACAGTAACCACAAGTACTGGAAGTCTGTTTCCTTACAGAGCATTGCTAAAAACATGTAATGTAACACACCTACAGTTTTTTTTAAAACAAAACAAAACATGTTGCTTGCACCATATTCAAATTTTAGCAAGTTAAAAAAAATCTCAGTTTCAACATTTCAGATGTTGACTTTGTGCTGTTTCCAACTAAATGTATGCTCAAAATAACGTCCAAATTGTAGCATTCTGTTTTTATTTACAGTTTAGGTAGTATCCATGCTTAAAAAGCATGCAGTTTAACACCCATGCACACATTTGTGATTACAGATACTTGTGGATTGTACTGGGTTATTAAAAGCCTAATTATTTTACTACTCTGTTTTTTTTAGGAGGTCTCCTTTGGGTGGAGTGTGCGTCAGTCCTAGGGCGACACTATCAGACCAGCAGTACCAGCAGCTCGCTCTGGACACACTGGAGGAGCTGGACTGGTGCTTAGACCAGCTGGAGACCATCCAGACACACCGCTCTGTCAGCGAGATGGCTTCCAACAAGGTTTGTAACTAACACTGTATAAACGTATTAACATGTCACCAGCTGTAGATCAGCTCATAACCATGCAGATGAACCTTTATGTATGTTTTCAATATTTAGCTCAAATCATTACATTTTGATTTTTGCTAGCAGTTAATACATGAATTGGTGCCTCTGTGCTGTAAGTAATAATTATAGGACACTAAACAGAAAATGTAAAAATCTATCTCCAACATTTTTTTTTCAGTCGTTTTACTGTTTCCTTAAACCTCTGGACTCACTCAAAGCCCAGAATCCAAACAGGCCTTCTGTTTTGAATAATAACGCTAAGTTTCCTGAGGGAAGCCTCAGGTTGACTCACACCATCTTTGTGTTTTGTTCTCATTCTGCCACAGTTTAAGAGGATGCTGAACAGAGAGCTCTCTCACCTGTCAGAGATGAGTCGCTCCGGGAACCAGGTGTCTGAGTACATCTCCAGCACCTTCATGGGTGAGCGGGACCAGAATGTGATTTCTGTCCACATCGCATTTATGACCTTATCCAAATTAAAAACTATAAATCCACTGTGTGTGTGTGTGTGTCTTCAGACAAGCAGAATGAGGTGGAAATCCCGTCTCCCACTCTGAAAGATAAATCCATGAGTCACATCAGCGGAGTGAGGAAACTGTCTCACAGCTCCAGCCTCTCCAGCGCTTCCATGCCTCGCTTCGGCGTCAACACGGACCACGAGGATGAGCTTGCCAAGGTGCTGTTTTCTATCTGCGTTATTCACACTCGCCATCAAACTTTGCTCAGACTTGAGCTCGGATCTCTGAAAAATGATATTATTTTTCATGGCTTTGGCATTGTTTTTCCCTTCTAGCAGCAAGAAACAGATGTACGCACGTACCCTGTATCTGATAGAAACATAAGCAAACATGATTATATCCCACGTTACTGTATACTTTATGCAATCGAGAAAGTTTGGCCTGGCTTTTCAGAAAATAACTGCAAGTACTGACTTGTTGTAAGAAAAAAGTGCTCATATATTTATTAGGTTTATGTCTGTTCACATACCAGCTGGAGTCTTTTATTAATCCTTTAGTCTGCTTTCTAGTGCCTGACGCCTGCTTGTTTAATTCCATCCAGTCTTTAGCACCACATTTTTTTGGAAGGTCCACAGTGGGGTGGAGACTGTCTCTGACTGCTTGGTCATGCAGCACATAAATCACATTAAAGTATGCTAGATACAAACATAAAGCTTTGTTCCTACGCCATTGTAATTAAGAACTGGACCAGGTGACAGATATTCTCTATACATCTGTGGACCACCTACCACTAAGGCTCAACTGTCAAGGTTATGCTGAGAGACATCAAAGCAGTGTCTGCTGTGTGATTAGTGTTGAAATGGTGCCAGAGCTCAAAGATGGAAGCACTGGAAGTCTGCTCATGTTTGGGATGGAGGATGATTTGAACTTTCAGCTGTTTGCTCAATGAAGTCTTGTCAGGAAACATTATGTAGGTTAATACAGAGTGACCTTAGACTTGATTTAGAGTCATGTGTTTGACCTTTGGGCTAAAGTCTGGTGCTAAAGTCTTAAACTACCATCCATGTATTTATCTAGCCAGGGCGATCATGGCTCAAGAGTTGGCAGTTCGCCTTGTAATCGGAAGGTTGCCGGTTTGAGCCCCGGCTTGGACAGTCTCGGTCGTTGTGTCCTTGGGCAAGACACTTCACCCGTTGCCTACTGGTGGTGGTCAGAGGGCCCGGTGGCGCCAGTGTCCGGCAGCCTCACCTCTGTCAGTGCGCCCCAGGGTGGCTGTGGCTACAATGTAGCTTGCCATCACCTGTGTGTGAATGGATGACTGGATATGTAAAGTGCTTTACAAATACAGGCCATTTATTTATCTGTTTTGCTGGGAAACTCTTTTCTTTAAATAGTCTTCAGGAAGAGTTCTTTGGATTTTCGTTGCCTTTTGTTCTGTTCTCGGTCAAAATGATCCCACACTGCTTCAGTAATGTGTAGGTCTGAGTTCTTTGGAGGCCGATCCATGACTGATAGGGTTCTACTGTGTGTTCTTCTATCCATGTATGCTTTTACTGCATTAGCAGTGGGCTTAAGATCATTTTCATGCTGAAAAATGAAGCCACTGCCAGTCAGAATAAACGTTTCTGGGTTCAATATTCCATCATTTTTGCGAGCCCCGACACCACAGGCTGAAGGCTCTCTGTTGTTCCTCTCTGCTGACCTCCTCTGTACATATTAATGACAGTTGTGTGTTCTCTTTTGAATTTTTAAAATTCATTTAAGAACAAGTTATGTGTTTTGGCAATATGCTGTTAGTAGCAAAGTGACTAAAGATACTATTTGGAACGGGTTCTTTGTTGTCTGTAATGTGTAGACACAACACTTGTTCATACCTTGAGTTAGGTTCTTTTTTATGTTTGAGTGATTCGTAGGTCAGTTTTAAATGACTTACTAAACATCTTCTAAAAATGGTCAAGTGCAAGAATTGGACTGAAAATGAGAGAATGTGCAAAGAAAGTCTTTGAAAGATCTTCAGAAAACTGGAGAATTGTTGCTCTACACCACTGTTAAAAGTTACAAGAAAGTCTGGCCCCTTGAAAGTAGAGTATACAGCGCACTGCACTGTAAGGAGGACTTTAATACGACCATCTGAAAGTTTTGATGAAACATTTTTGAAACAGTGTGATTTTCAAGCTATGGCTCGCTTTACTTTGTGTGTTGAAACAGGAGCTGGAGGATCTGGACAAGTGGAGTTTTAACATATTCAGAGTAGCAGAGTTTTCCAACAACAGACCTCTCAGCTGCATCATGTACGCCATCTTCCAGGTAAAGAAAATAATCGTATAAATGTGGACTGTTCGTGTCTGTGCTCATGTACACGGTGTACTCCCTTTTCTTTTGTCTCGCTCCTCCTCAGGAGCGAGAGCTGTTGAAGACATTTCGTATCCCAGTCGACACCTTTGTCACTTACGTGATGACCCTGGAGGACCATTACCATGGAAACGTAGCGTACCACAACAGCCTCCATGCTGCAGATGTCACCCAGTCCACACATGTTCTTCTCTCCACACCTGCTCTTGATGTAGGTCAACACGCACACAAACACACACACACTTTTGATGTCCGTTCACACATAAGGAGAGAGGCGTGAAGAAAAGGTGGAGAGAATAAAAAATCAAAGCAAAGAAAGACAAACATCTTCTAACTGAAACATCTGGGTACTTTCATAGTTGAACATGAATTAACTTTTTCTCAAACAAATAGACCTATTTAAATAAGTGTGTCATGTTGTAATACATTATATATTAAAATGCATATTATTCATGTGTCTAGACAAAAAAAATATGTTTGAGCTTCCTCAGACTTTTGGCCCAAGGCCTCAAACTGACCTGTTCAACATTTCTAAATTGCACCTGTGGCTGCTCTGATTCCTCAGTCCACATACTGAAGGATCCTTGGGCAAGATACTGAACAGTGAGTTGCCCCCGATGCATCCATCCAGCTCTGAGTGTGTATGTCTATGTTAGAAAATCCCTTGGGCATAGATGAAAGTGCTGTATGGCGGACTTTGAGGGCTGAGTAGAAGGGTGCTATACAAGTACCAGTCTTTACGGGTTAGTAGAGTAACAACTGTTTAATTTAATAAAGTCAGTTGTATTTATATACCGCCAATTCACAACAAGAGTTGCCTCAAGGTGCTTTATTCTGTGAGGTAAAGACTCTACAATAAAACTCCAGCAATCAGAGGATCCTGTTTTGAGCAAGTACTTGGTGACAGTGGGAAGGAAAAACTCCCTTTTAACAGGAAGAAACCTCCTGCAGACCCAGCCTCAGGGAAACACAGACATCTGTCACAACTTGTTGTGGGTGAGGGGATTCAACTGTGGGTCCAGGTGTTAGATTATCAACAGAAAAGAAACATGTACCTGATCTAACACACATGGTTCTATGGAGAAGCTGCACCTGAGAAACATCCCTGAAAAATAATAACAATTTAAAAAAGATAAAAAGCTGGAGAGAGTGTTTTTACTTTTGTCACATGTTTGTTAATGTGTTGCATAAAAAGCTGGAGCCCTTTTATGTGGTCACATTGGATCCAAAGCAGACTGACCATGTGACCCTTATTACACCATGGCTTATGCCGTGATGTAACAACAAAGAAATCTTAAGTTTAAAAGATTTTCACAGCATTATGACTTGAGTATGAAGTATAAGTAAATCTATGAGCTGATATTGATCACAGATTCAAACACACAAACAATGGGAGCTGGGTTCAGTGTCACTGTGGTTGCTGTTTTTTCTACTGGAAATAAAAGAACAACATCTGACTTTATCTGGGAATGCATTTGTCTCCCACACACTGAGACAGTGTTCCATATTTTGAGTAGCTCTAGTTTTCAGGACAGCAGGACAGCTGCTTTTCTGTCTGGCTTGCAAAGAAAGCAGGAAAGGCTGTTCTAGTGGGTCAAGTGCAGGTTAACCCGCCACGAGCTTTTGCTGCTTACACAATACATAAAATTAGGGAACTACAAAGTTACAAGCTGCACAGTTTTTGGCGGAATATGGAAATGCGGTTATAAAAATGACTGGAAACAGGAAACTGGGTGAAACCACTGGAAGACCCAATATTTTTTTCTAGTTTTTATTAAGTTTTACAGAGAGGGAAGAATATGATGTGACGTGAAGTCTACAGAATGAATCCCAAGAAAAGGCGTTAAAACATTTTATACAGTTTTTAAAGGCAAAAAGGGGAAATATGACTCCAAGAAAACTGCTGCAAAAGGCAATAAGAAGACAACAAACAACAAACAACAAACACACACAAACTCTTAGAACAGAGTTTGTGTGTGTTTGTTGTTTAAGTTAGATATAATTTTGTCCCATACCGTCTCACATTTAGCTGCGGTATGGTCACGTCTGCAAAGACAGTAAAAACGTTTATCCATATTCTTCAACTGCAGTATGTTCTTTGCTATTAGACGCACCTTTTTGCATTTTATTAGCACAGAAACTAGTTTTGAAACTGTCAGGGGTATTGACTTTTGTCTCCTGCCCTTCTTGTCATTTCAGGCTGTCTTCACTGACCTGGAAATCCTCGCCGCTCTATTTGCTGCAGCCATCCACGATGTAGACCATCCCGGAGTTTCCAATCAGTTCCTCATCAACACCAGTGAGTTCACATACGCTCACACACTCAAACACATGCTTTGATATTTGCACACGCTGTGTTCACACCCCCTCCTCTGCGCTCAGACTCAGAGCTGGCCCTAATGTATAACGACGAGTCAGTATTGGAGAACCACCACCTCGCCGTGGGCTTCAAGCTTTTGCACCAAGAAAACTGTGACATTTTCCAGAACCTTACCAAGCGGCAGCGCCAGAGCCTTCGCAAGCTCGTCATCGATATGGTAGGGAACTAGTTTTAAAATAATGTAGCAGTAACCTAACAGAATTTCATTTTTTTCTATTATCATGCAAATGATGTATGAATCTAATTTATCATTTTTAGTTTTAGTCATATTTTATTTAGTTTTAAAGATTTGTATTCTCTTAAGATTCTCTTAAGTGTATATTTAAACACCTTGAACAGGAAACTGAATGTATCTGTTTTGGTTCTTCTCATTTAAGCTACCCTTATTCTGACTGGCTGAGCTTTGCAAACACAAGGTTTGCACTGGGTGGGGTTGCTGTGCTCACATATGATGCCTTAAAGATACAGATGAGGTGCTTTAAATACAGCTTTTGATTTACAGGGACTACTTGTACATACAGTTGTGTGTCAGAATCATATCCGCTCTCATGGGGATAAATGCCATTGTAATTTCTGAATGTTCTTTTTCCAGGGTGGAATGGTTGACAGCATTTGAATTCATGTTGGGGTGGGGGGTAATCAACACAGGGTCAAAAGTATACCCACTAATATTTGGGTAAATGTGTTACACTTCAACCAGACCTTTTTGTTAGCCATCAACAAGTTTCAGGCATAATTGTGGCTAAATATTTGACTACTATTCTTGGTGGAATTGGTAGAGTTCATTTAAATTAGTTGGTTTCCTGGCACTGACTCGGCGTAGTCCAGAAATTTTCCGTAGCCTTGAGGTTGGAACTTTGGGAAGCCTGCTTGCTCCATTTTGAAACCAGTATTGATGTGTGTTTGGGATCATTATCTTTGTGGAGGTGTTTCCTTTCTTTATTGCATCCACTTTGTGTAATGCACCAGCTGCACTGGCAGCACAACAGTTCCAGAACATGATGCTACCACCACCATGCTTGACAGTTGGTACAAAACCTCACCTTTACTCCTTGAAACATACCTCTTGTCACTGTGGCCAAATACTTCAATCTTTGTCTCATCTGATCATAAAATGTAAAGCTGTCTACATGGAGAATGGCTTGTCCATGTAGACTGCGCCACACTTCAGTTGAGTCTGAAGGTGTCAATTCTTCCTGCACCAAGGAGTGGGGGCTTCTTTCCTGGTCTTCTTCCTCTCGGCCCATGGTGAAATGTTGATGGTAGAACTCGAGTCACTGTGGACAGTGATCCAGGTGTTCCAGCGGTTTCCAGTTCATGCCAGGCCTGATTGGTTCCTGAAAATCATATTAGTGTTTGAACTGATGATTGTGGAATTTGCAGTATAGAATGCCTCCAAAAACGTTTGCAACTTTGTACTCTGTGCTTTGTACTGCATTTCTTGGACCCATTGTTCTGAATACTGAATGAGACCTGTTAAACAAATTATTTTTAATGTTTGCATTGCCTATCAGCTATAGTCAATCATATTACATATATATACATATATACACCCAGCACGCCCCTGCGGGCGGTTTATCCTTCAAGCTCAGGTCCTCTACCAGAGGCCTGGGAGTTTGAGGGTCCTGCGCAGTATCTTTGCTGTTCCCAGGACTGCGCTCTTCTGGACAGAGATCTCCGATGTTGTTCCCAGGATCTGCTGGAGCCACTCGCCTAGCTTGGGAGTCACAGCACCTAGTGCTCCGATTACCACGGGGTCCACTGTCAGTTCAAAGAGAACATTCATGTCCATGATGAATGTGTGCAAACGTCTGACCACAACTGTAAGCTCAAATCTTTAAATAATGAGGTCATTATTTAAAGATTTGAGCACACAACATTGTGATAAATAAAGAAAAAGCATAATAGGTTCCCTTTAGAGAAAAAGTGGACTGACTTCATCCCTGATTATTGCATTATATATTTTCAGAGTAATTTATAATCACACAGGAGTAGAAGGGGGTTGATTCCTAACAGGGCGTAGAGCATATTACAGGTTCAAGGATGCAAAATAAAAGCTTCGGGCAGAAAGTAGTTTGCATTTCTTTCTGTCGTTTTCTGCAGGTGTTGGCCACAGACATGTCCAAACACATGACACTGCTGGCTGATTTAAAGACAATGGTGGAGACCAAGAAGGTGACAAGTTCTGGCGTGCTACTTCTGGACCACTATACAGAACGAATACAGGTAACTTGATCAGTAACGTTTGACCCCGCAGAGAGAGAATGACATACATAACATTAAATATTCTTGTATGATCGTAGGTACTGAGGAACATGGTGCACTGTGCAGACCTGAGCAACCCCACCAAGCACTTACCTTTATACAGACAGTGGACAGAGCGGATCATGGAGGAGTTCTTTCGGCAGGGCGACAAAGAACGCGAGAGAGGGATGGAGATCAGCGCCATGTGTGACAAACACACTGCGTCTGTGGAGAAAAGTCAGGTAAAGCTCTCTCTGACTCACAGCGTCATTAATATAGTGAAGATGTTAAATGTGCACACAGAAAGGATAATGAGCCACAAACAAGCAACTTTAAAGTGTCTATGATAGCAAGGGTGGATAAAACAACAGAAACACAGAGCAGTGTGAAATAACAACCCTGAAATAGACTCTGTTAAATCCTCAGTTTATGCTGAGATTCTGAGAAAGTGTTAATGAGCATTTTTCTGTCTGTGGCAGGTCATTCACAAACACCGCAAATGTGGGAGTTGGTAGTGTGTGGGGAAAGTATCCGATCTGATAATGATAAAATGAACACAAAACGACAAGCAGTGGTAAATATATGCACAAATGCAATTCAGTTTTATTTATATAGTGCCAATTCAGAACAACTGTTGCGTCAAGGAGCTTTATATTGTAAGATAAAAAGCCAGTGTTAGAAAGAAACACCAAACAATTAGACAACCCCTCTATGAGCAAGTACTTAGAGACACTGGGAAGGAAAAACTCCCTTTTAACGGGAAGAAACCTCCAACAGAACCAGGCTCAGGGAGCGGCAGCCTCTGATATGACCAATTGTGGGTGAGGGGAGGAAGTGTGCTATGGAAGAGAGCAATTTGGTAGCAACCAAAGAATTGCACACAATACAAATTTTTCCCTAGCAACCAGCGGTTGCCAGATGGTTACCACTGATTTGGGCTTGATTCACTTGATCCTACAAGATTCGATTAGATTCAGTTCAATTCAATTTTATTTATACAGCGCCAAATCACAACAACAGTCGCCTCAAGCCGCTTTAAATTATAAGGTAGACCCTACAATAATAGATACAGAGAAAAAAAACAATCATATGGCCCACTATGAGCAAGCACTTTGGCGACAGTGGGAAGGAAAAACTCCCTTTTTCCTTCCCACAAGATCACAAGTCCAAAATCGCAGATTGGTTGCAGTTATTTGACAATAAAGCTTCAGGTGTAAGTATACTGGGTTATGAAGTGTCAGTTTCAAACCAGTAAAAAAAAATCAAAATATGTGACAAATGTCCATCAAATGTACAAACCATTTGCACAAGACTAGATCAAGAGAAAGTGTGTGTGTGTGTGTGTGTGTGTGTGTGTGTGTGTGTGTGTGTGTGTGTGTGTGTGTGGCTGTGATTTACACACAGTTGTGGATTGGGCTATTTAAACATGTTTGTTTGGATGGTGGCTATTAGGACAGAAGCCCAGCTAAGATCGTTCCAATTCATATACTGTGGGGGAACAGATTATTTCTTTTAAAACCACATTTTAGTCGGTGCATCTGCTTTCTCTCAGAGCAACAGGAAGGAAAGAAAAAACTCAGAGACACAAAAGTCAGTAAGGTTCATCCTCTGGAGACATGAAATTTTAAAGCAGTCCAACTGCTGGCTGCTGAGTGACGTGGAGAGACCAACAAACCTCGGGCCACGACGCAACTAGAATTAAAACTAAAAATTGCGTTTTATATTGCGTTGTGACAGAATGACAAACTGTTGATTGTGCAGCACTTTTATTTGTCCCCCAAAATTTGTCAGCACAATTAATACTGGAATAACTTATGCTAAACTCTCAGTCAGTAAATCTGTTTTGGATACGTGTGTGAGAAATGTATTCCTGTGTCAATGTCCAGCTGGAAGCAGCTACAGAGATATGCCTCTTCTGATTTTCACGATGAGAAACAGTAACATCATTCTGCGTCAAGTTTGTGGTCACAGATTCTGCACTTTGTAAAATGGTTTTGTGTTTGTTAATGTACAGCCAGTTGGATTTAGCTCTAGCAAAGGTAAAATACTACTTAAGGGACATATGTTATTTGCTTTCTTTGCCAGGAGTTATTTGAAAGAATTATGTATTACATGGACAATCATCAGTATCAATGATGACCATGAAAACATGGAAATATGCAATAATGCATCAGTGTGTCATTTCACGCACTTTATTATTTACTATAATGTAGATCAGAAAACCCCGACCCTAAAACCATATTTTAAGCTGTCGCATCATTTGGTGTTTCATGAAGTTCTTTCTTTCTCAAAGCTGAGAATCTGATGTGAACTACTTTGTTAAGTTGCTTTGGTCTCAATATTGTTCAATACATCAGGAGCAAGAATTGTGAATCTGAGAAATGTGAATGGAGGTTTTTCTCTGAAAATGTGGGGAAAAGTGCCCCTTAAAATCACTAATGTGACCCTGACCTTGAGCACAGTTTGGGTGAAGACCCATCTGCTGATGATTGAGTGCAACTTCACTAAAATCTTACCAATACTCTCACAGAGGAGCGATTCTTGTGACTTGTAAACAGACAGACGACAGATGCCTCGGCACTGCATGAGCTCATCACTCCTTCATTAAAATGAGCTGAATTAAAGGCACCATAGTTGAGTAATATGGAGTCTTTGGACCAGCACTCTTTTTCAGCCATGGAGGTTTCTGCTTAATAAAAGTTTACCACTGCAGATTTTACAAATAGATGTACAGACCAAAACCATTTTCTTGGCTATAAACCTTGTGCTGTGAAGTTAGTGATGTTACCATGGGAATTAAATGGATTTCAATCAGCCTCAAGTGGCCGTTAAGGGGACTGCAGTTTTTGGCATTCAAGTGTTGTCCTGGGTTTGCTCTGACTTGTCTCAGATATTTGTCAGATATGGCAGTGGAGACTCACACCGGTGTCAGAGCAGTCTGACTTTTTCTTTGTATAACTATCAACCTAAGTGCAACACAGCAGCAAGAAAGTTGGCACCACCTTGTGGCCTAATAAAGCAGCTGCAGTTACAATTTAACAGCAATTGACAGTTTACAGAGTTGAAATAAAAGCACAAGTATCACTTGGGTTTTTGTACAAGTCAAACATACAGGAGACGTGCTTATAAGCATGTCTTACAATATACCTTGAGATGACTGCGGTTGTAAGTTTGTGCAAGCTGAGGCATTGAATAGATAATGTGTGATTTAGTCGTTAATGGTTATGGCACATGGAGTTTGTGATGTAAGGACAGAATCAGGTCAACTCAGTTTTTATGCTCAGCTAAGTCAACCATAAGTGAATCAACATATTCTCCAAAGTGTTGACATGTTCCTTTAGCACCACACATTAAAGTGGCTTCGTCTAGTATTTGAAGTATTTTCATCTTCTTTTTCTTTCCCAGGTGGGCTTCATCGACTACATCGTCCACCCGCTGTGGGAAACGTGGGCCGACCTGGTTCATCCAGATGCTCAGGAGCTGCTGGACACGCTGGAAGAGAACAGGGAGTGGTACCTGAACACCATGCCCCAGTCTCCCTCGCCTCCTCCAGATAGACACCTCCAGCATGACCGCTTCCAGTTTGAGATCACTATTGAGGACCTAGAGCAAAACAACCACAACCACATACACATGAGAAACAGCAGCGGGAGGAGTGGCCGGAAAGCCATCTGTGATAACAACGACGAGGACTTAATGCAGGACGGCCAGGTGGAGGCAAACGGAGAGGAGCAGAATCATGCAGAAGATGACAAAGATGAGCAGGAAAATCACAACAGTGAACAGAATGGAGTCCAGGAGGAAGAGGAGGAGGAGGAGGAGGAGGAGGAGCAGGAAGAGAAAGAGGCAGAGGAGGTGCAGGAAGAAGGGCAATTTGAAGAAGAAGGAGCACAGACAGAGGAAGAAGAAGAAGCCAATGATGTAGCACAAGAGGAGGAAACAAAAGGGGAGGAGGAAGCTGAAGAAGAAGAAGGCGAGGAAGGGGGAGAGGAGAAGGGAGACTGCGAGGAAGGTGGAGAAACTGCATATGTAGAAGAGGAAATAGATGGAGAAAAAGTAGAAGATGAGAGAGAAGAGGACATTGAAAATAAGGAAGCAGAAGTGGAAAAAGAGGAGGCTTTGGAACAGGAGGAGGGGGATGTTGAAGAGGATGAGGGGAAAGAGGAGGAAGAAGTGGAGGATGAGGAGGAAATAAAGGAAAATGTGGAAGAGGAAGAGGCAGCAGCAGAGCAGGGAGAGGAGGAGGCACCAGAGGAGGCAGAGGAAGAAGTACAAGAGGAAGAGGAGAGCTAGCCAGGTGTAAAAAGGTGAATTCACAGGGTCAGTGAGGAAAGACTGAGATGAAGAGGGCCAGAAAGAGGCCACAACGGCAGCGAGTGGGTGTAGAGGATGATAAATAGCTGATGACGCCCTTCCTTCCAAATAACGCGCTCTGACCACTTTGTCCTGTGAGCATCGTAGCTGAGGAGCAGTTTGTTGTCTGCTCCGGACATCCTTAAAACACTCAGAGAAACACTGAAAGACCAACCGTACACCGAAAACAAAACCTCTCTGGATCTTCCCAAACGCAACTTGAGGAGCCGGTAGTGACAGACTGGAGTCTTCTTCACCTGGTGTCTGTAAATCCATCACTGCCATGGAGGATGAACTGGGGGGATGATAATGATGATAATAATAACAATAATAATAATAAAAGGGAAGGGATTTGTTCTGTCGACCTTTTTGTAGCTCCTGGAAATCTAACAAAGCCTGAAATACGCACATGCAAACAAGTGCGTGCCTGTTCTGTTCTTATAGACTACCCTCCGTTGTCTCTCGGTCACTGTCTCAGTCCCGTTGATGAGGAAGATAACATCTCACACACACAGTGAGCATCAAATGCTAAAAGAATGTCAGCTTCCTCCGTTTGTCAGAAAACAGAAAAAAATAATGCAAAAAAAAAAAAAAGTCTGGAAAGTGTAGTCTGTCATCTCACATTTACTAGAAAAAAACGTTCCACTTGTGAACAGGAATGCCGAGTACACCTCCAGGGATGTGGTCCAGGAACAGTTTAACCTCGTCACATACTAACCTTAATGCAACAATGCTGGATTTCTGACACTGTCTCTGAGTAATATGTGGACCGTTATAGCTCAGAAGCCTGATCTGTTGTACATGTCGATGTTGGTTAATGTTTTAAAAATAATAGTAATAATAATAATAATAATTAAAGAACACCCAGTATTCATCCTATCATGACAGGTTCACCTGAATCGTGCCAAACCGTCCCACAACCAGCACTGAGCAATTCAGCCTCCGAATGAGGGGGCTACTCGTCACGAAGCAATGAAACTGTGGGACCCGGCCACCAGGTGTGATGGTCTTCCACAAATCCCATTGTTTGATTTTGTTTGATTTTTTTGATTGTTTGGTTTTGTAAAAAAAAAAGAAAATGTATTTGGCACTTTATCTAACACCCCTGTTACATATCTGTACATAGTAAACATGTATTTTAATCTGCTGATGTCATATAATAAATACGATCAATGCAGCTGATGGGCTGGAGTTTCTAATTGCACAAGAGCTGAAACAAGAAGCCATTTAAGGAAAAAGGATATTCTTTTTTTTTTTAATATATATATCAATTACCAATATTATTGCCTGACAGACATGTATTGGTATTGGCGTGTGTCTTGCCAAATGTTTTTTAACGCTCTTCCTAATGCGACTCTGCAGGGAATTGTGTCTCCTCCTGGGATCAAACTGGACACCTTTTGCTTGTCAGGCTAAATGACTACACTATGAAGCCATTTTTACAGATGAAAGATGTTTGGAAACAGTGTTCTCAGTTTATCCAGCAGTGGATCTCCCACTCTGTTACTTGCACAGATCTCACTCTCTCTGCAGCACAGAGTAGCATGAAGATGGACCAGACCTGGGCTCAGCAACCTTTACTAAGAAACACAACTGCCAAACTTTGAAGCCTCACAATGAAGATGACAGGCTCTAATAATTATAAGTTAGCGTATCCAAATGAACAGGTGTAAATAATTAACATCTTTTATCACATAACTACTCTGCAGTACGTTATTTATCATTACCTGGTTATTTAAATTTGCCTTTTCATTATAGTTATTCTCCTTTTAGTGCATTTTTTATTATTACAGAACTAAAATAAAAAGTTTTATATATAAAAAACACCCAGCACGCCCCTGCGGGCGGTTTATCCTTCAAGCTCGGGTCCTCTACCAGAGGCCTGGGAGCTTGAGGGTCCTGCGCAGTATCTTAGCTGTTCCCAGGACTGCGCTCTTCTGGACAGAGATCTCAGATGTTGTTCCCGGGATCTGCTGGAGCCACTCGCCTAGCTTGGGAGTCACCGCACCTAGTGCTCCGATTACCACGGGGACCACCGTTACCTTCACCCTCCACATCCTCTCGAGCTCTTCTCTGAGCCCTTGGTATTTCTCCAGCTTCTCGTGTTCCTTCTTCCTGATATTGCTGTCATTCGGAACCGCTACATCGATCACTACGGCCGTCTTCTTCTGTTTGTCTACCACCACTATGTCCGGTTGGTTAGCCACCACCATTTTGTCCGTCTGTATCTGGAAGTCCCACAGGATCTTAGCTCGGTCATTCTCCACCACCCTTGGGGGCATCTCCCATTTTGACCTCGGGACTTCCAGGTTATACTCGGCACAGATGTTCCTGTACGCTATGCCGGCCACTTGGTTATGGCGTTCCATGTATGCCTTGCCTGCTAGCATCTTGCTCCCTGCTGTTATGTGCTGGATTGTCTCTGGGGCATCTTTACACAGCCTGCACCTGGGGTCTTGCCTGGTGTGATAGACCCCAGCCTCTATGGATCTTGTGCTCAGAGCTTGTTCTTGTGCTGCCATGATTAGTGCCTCTGTGCTGTCTTTCAGTCCAGCTTTGTCCAGCCACTGGTAGGATTTCTGGATATCAGCCACCTCCTCTATCTGCCGGTGGTACATACCGTGCAGGGGCCTGTCCTTCCATGATGGTTCCTCGTCTCCCTCCTCTTTCTTGGGTTTCTGCTGCCTGAGGTATTCACTGAGCACTCGGTCAGTTGGGGCCATCTTCCCAATGTATTCTTGGATGTTCGTTGTCTCATCCTGGACTGTGGTGCTGACACTCACCAGTCCCCGGCCCCCTTCCTTCCGCTTAGCGTACAGCCTCAGGGTGCTGGACTTGGGGTGAAACCCTCCATGCATGGTAAGGAGCTTTCTTGTCTTTATGTCAGTGGCTTCTATCTCCTCCTTTGGCCAGCCTATTACCCGAGCAGGGTACCTGATCACGGGCAGGGCGTACGTGTTGATGGCCCGGATCTTGTTCTTACCATTCAGCTGACTCCTCAGGACTTGCCTGACCCTCTGCAGGTACTTGGTGGTTGCAGCTTTTCTAGCGGCCTCTTCATGGTTCCCATTTGCCTGCGGGATCCCCAGGTACTTGTAACTGTCCTCTATGTCTGCAATGTTGCCTTCTGGTAGTTCAATCCCCTCAGTTCTGACTACCTTCCCTCTCTTTGATACCATCCGACTACACTTCTCCAGTCCAATGTCCAATGTCATTGCAGTATAGCCTGGTAGTGTGGATCAGTGAATATTATATATATATATATATATATATATATATATATATATATATATATATATATATATATATATATATATATATAATTTTACTGTTTTACTTCAGTAACAACTGTAAAGTGGAGAGACAAAAATTAGCATTTTTAGGCCTACTGTGAAACAGTAACTACAAAGTGGTCTGCAGAGCTTTGATTTATTTCTGTTTGTAGAAATTTATCAAGTCAAAATGTAGCAGTCCAAGAGCTTTAAAAGTTATATAAAAAGGTAGGTTTTCAGTTCTTTGACTTAAACCCAGCTGCATGTGGAATCCATAGCAACGGAGGGTGAAGACTAAACATTTATGTGTATTCAGCCGAGCTAATCATCGCTGTAGAGGTCGGCAAATACAAGAGAATGAAGTAACACGTGTTAGACGAAGGAGATGAAGCACATGTGAAAACGTTTTTTCTTTTTTTAATTCAGTGTAAAGGCTACATACTTTCACAGCTGGAGGATGTAGAGACAAACTTTTAAAAAACACTGCAAAATATCCATTGTTCATTTTGTGTTTATATTATTGTCTTTTGACGATACCACATTGAGCCCCTGCATATGTAAAAGAGCCACAGAACTGATCCCAGATCCCAGAACACAACTGTAACAGAATCCATATTTATTAAAGAACTCAATACTGACACATGACAGACATGCATTTCCTGTTTCACAGTCACACAGGAGGAAGCAGGTAAAACTGAGCCTGAATGTCTTCTTTGGGGTTCATAAAGTGGTTGAAGCTGAGGAAACAACACACAGTCTGTAATTAAAGAAAACTAAATAAAATAAAATGAAACACAAACAAACTGGAAACAACTTCACACAGAGAAACAAAATGAAGCATGCTACTAAGAGTCAAACCCTACAAAAAGCTACAGCAAAGAGTAGTAACTGATTTATTTTAAAGTGTATTTAACACATTCATCAGTTATTTTGTCCTGCTTTCAGCCACAGAGTGGGGGGAAAGTGTTTACAGATGTAAACAATTTTTTTATCAGCTTTGCTACATGTCTTTGTTTTTTCTTGAATCTTTTAATTGATACACAAACAAGCAGATCCGAAATGCAGTAACACAATTATATAATTATACTCACACACTTTAAGTGTAAGGAAAGGAAATCTTAGTTGGAAGATAAATACATATTAAAAACATCTCAAGGTGCTTCGGGAGTTCTGATGTCAGAAAAGCAGAAGAGTTTTTCAAATGCAGACTTGAAACCAGCAACATGTCAGCTTACGCTGGATTGCACCTCAGTGGTTTAACAACAGCACGAGGCAGCGAAATAAGATGACAGCAGAGCATCTGACACGTGAATCGGGTCCAGTCGGGGATGTGCTGAACCCACCTGAACACCCTTACATCAAATGCTTAGATTTGAAATACAATATTCTGATGCACACAAAAGTGTAAAAGAACTGTAAAATCCTCTGAATGAACAATAGATTGTTTTATTTTTGCCACAGATTTTGTTGTACTTTAGTTTCTTAACGGCACAGCTAAAGCAACAATAACTACTAAAGCCTTGGACTGTTTGGGTTTTACAATAAACAGAGCAACAGCTCCTGCCTTTGCTGCTCATTATTTGTGTGTGTGCGTGCATCCCACTGGCCTGTTGACTGAACTGAGTATTTTAGAATTCAGTGACTGATTGAAAGTGGTTGCAGCAATTAAGTGCTAACCAGAGCATAAACACGGGTGCACAGGTGCGTGGGAGACAAACTGTGTCCAAAGCAGTCACTCCAAAGTGAGCACAACACATCCACGTCATATCTCTTTGCAATAAGGGGCTCAAGTCAGCTGGTTGCCAACTGGTTGTATTCTTGTTATGTACCTAAATAAAAGCAAGGTAGCAGAGTTAATGTCATTCTGTAGTTAAATCGCAGCCCTGCAGCCATGCGTCAGTATTTGTGGAGGAACTTTCTGTTTCCTATTTGTGAGACTCTGACGTTCAGCACTTTCTGTGAATTTCTGACCGCAACATATTTGTGATTTCTCATAGCGAATCTCTGCATTATCACAAATGATCACAAACAGATTGTATGTACCCCCTCGAGTTGCAGACTGACGCCTCTTATTGCCGTTTTATCGCATTTTGATGCATCAAGCTTGGAATACAGATCACAACAACTCACTGACGAGTAGTTAGACTAGATCTTCAAAAGGCAACAAGATCTCAAGGTCACAATACTTTTAGTTGCACTGCTGTGTCCAGCCACCGTTTACCATAGTGTGACTCCAGTGTCAGTGCTTGGTGTTTCTTTGGAATACCAACCAGGTATAAAGGAACTGGAAGTAACGGATTCCATGTGCAATGTAAGACTTTCAACTCTTTTTTTAAATAATGTAAGACATTTTTCTTTGCCTGAATCACAGTTGCTACTTTTTTTAATCACAGCAAATTGTTAAAAAAAAAACAACAAAAAAACCTACGCACACAAAGTAGGATTTTCAAAAATACAAACTTGCTTGGTGTTACTTCATGAAGTGTCCAAACCTGAAAGCATCTCCATCTTCTGGTTGAGTTTTTCTTCCTCCCTGGCTTCACTATCACTCTCTCTTCTTTCAATTGTTAATTTCACACCCAGCACAGAGTACAAATCCGAGTTTGTGAAGTTTTCAGTGGCCGGTCAAAGACATCCAGTCAGGAAAGTTGTCGATCTCTCCCGTTTCGCTCAGATGTTGGTCTCCGTGCATCAGTGTGAGCTTGTAGCGCAGGCGGACTTTACGCTGAGGGAAAAAATAAGGGACATCTTAAGAAATTGGCTGAATTTCTCCAAAGAAATAAATAAAGAACAAATATTTTAAATATTATCAGCATTATCTTTTGTGTTGTGTTGTAATATAAAACAAAGTATGGTGTTTATCTACAGCTTTACTCTCTTAACCATTCCTGCCATGTACAGGAAATGTGTAAAGCATCTTACTGAGGATCCGACAATTTATAGCAAGAGCAAAACAACCCTGCTCTGTGGAAATATACAACAAAAACAAGTATAAACAAACAAACTCACATGCAGAGACGCTGACAACTTTAATCAAGGTAGACAGGTAGTAACAGTTACATGCATATAACTCACCCTCTGAGGATTAGCTAACAGGAGGACCTGGGAGACAGCAGGTGGAGGCAGGACAGGGTTGTATGGAGG